CATAATGGTTCACTCACGGTGGACCAGCCATAATGGTTCACTCACGGTGGACCAGCCATAATGGTTCACTCACGGTGGACCAGCCATAATGGTTCACTCACGGTGGACCAGCCATAATGGTTCACTCACGGTGGACCAGCCATAATGGTTCACTCACGGTGGACCAGCCATAATGGTTCACTCATGGTGGACCAGCCATAATGGTTCACTCACGGTGGACCAGCCATAATGGTTCACTCACGGTGGACCAGCCATAATGGTTCACTCACGGTGGATCAGCCATAATGGTTCACTCACGGTGGACCAGCCATAATGGTTCACTCACGGTGGACCAGCCATAATGGTTCACTCACGGTGGATCAGCCATAATGGTTCACTCACGGTGGACCAGCCATAATGGTTCACTCATGGTGGACCAGCCATAATGGTTCACTCACGGTGGATCAGCCATAATGGTTCACTCACGGTGGACCAGCCATAATGGTTCACTCACGGTGGACCAGCCATAATGGTTCACTCACGGTGGACCAGCCATAATGGTTCACTCACGGTGGATCAGCCATAATGGTTCACTCACGGTGGACCAGCCATAATGGTTCACTCACGGTGGACCAGCCATAATGGTTCACTCACGGTGGACCAGCCATAATGGTTCACTCACGGTGGACCAGCCATAATGGTTCACTCATGGTGGACCAGCCATAATGGTTCACTCACGGTGGACCAGCCATAATGGTTCACTCACGGTGGACCAGCCATAATGGTTCACTCACGGTGGACCAGCCATAATGGTTCACTCACGGTGGATCAGCCATAATGGTTCACTCATGGTGGACCAGTCATTACGGTTGTAGAAAAACCTACCGGTGCTTTATTTGATTATTATATTAAGAGATTGGATTTATTACATCTACGTGTACTGTATTTTATAATTTGTCACCAGTACACTTCCCTTCACACATTTGGTATAATAGGGCATGTATGGAAGCAAAGAAACTGAACAAAAGGGGGTGGAGGAACTTCCGGAATAACAGAACACCAGAAAGTAGAGAGAGATACCAGAGAACCAGGAATGAGTATGTCAGAGTGAGAAGAGAAGCAGAGAAAAGTTATGAAAATGATTATAGCAAACAAAGCCAAGACCGAACCAAAGCTACTCCACAGTCACATCAGAAGGAAAACAACAGTGAAAGAACAGGTATTGAAACTTAGAACAGACGAGGACAGGTATACAGAGAATGACAAATAGGTGTGTGAAGAACTCAACAAGAGGTTCCAGGAGATCTTCACAATAGAATAAGGTGAGGTCACTGTGCTAGGAGAAAGGGAGGTAAACCAGGCGGCCTTGGAAGGGTTCGAAATAACGAGAGAGGAGGTCGAGACACCTGCTGGATCTGGATGTTAGAAAGGCTGTTGGTCCAGACGGGATCTCGCCATGGGTACTGAAAGAGTGTACAGAGGGACTTTGCTTGCCACTCTCCATAGTGTATAGTAGGTCACTGGAGACGGGAGATCCACCAGAAATATGGAAGACATCGAATGTGGTCTCAATATACAGAAAGGGCGACAGGCAAGAGACACTGAACTACAGGCCAGTGTCCTTGACTTGTATACCATGCAAGGTGATGGAGAAGATCGTGAGAATAAGCCTGGTAACACATCTGGAGAGAAGGGACTTCGTGACAAATCGCCAACATGGGTTCAGGGAGGGTAAATCTTGCCTGACTGGCTTAATAGAATTCTACGACCAGGTGACAAAGATTAAGCAAAAAAGAGAGGGCTGGGTGGACTGCATTTTCTTGGATTGTTGGAAAGCCTTTGACACAGTACCGCATAAGAGGCTGGTACATAAGCTGGAGAGACAGGCAGGTGTAGCTGGTAAGGTGCTCCAGTGGATAAGGGAGTACCTAAGCAATAGGAAGCAGAGAGTTACGGTGAGGGGGTGAGACCTCAGATTGGCGTGAAGTCACCAGTGGAGTCCCACAGGGCTCTGTACTCGGTCCTATCTTGTTTCTGATATATGTAAATGATCTCCCGGAGGGTATAGATTCATTTCTCTCAATGTTTGCGGACGATGCCAAAATTATGAGAAGGATTAAGACAGAGGAGGACTGCTTGAGGCTTCAAGAAGACCTAGACAAGCTGAAGGAATGGTCGAACAAATGGTTGTTAGAGTTTAACCCAACCAAATGTAATGTAATGAAGATACATATAGGTGTAGGGAGCAGGAGGCCAGATACAAGATATCATCTGGGAGAGGAAATTCTTCAGGAGTCAGAGAAGGAAAAAGACTTGGGGGTTGACATCACGCCAGACCTGTCTCCTGCAGCCCATATCAAGAGGATAACATCAGCGGCATATGCCAGGCTGGCCAACATAAGAACGGCATTCAGAAACTTGTGTAAGGAATCATTCAGAACTTTGTATACCACATATGTCAGACCAATCCTGGAGTATGCAGCCCCAGCATGGAGTCCATATCTAGTTAAGGATAAGACTAAACTGGAAAAGGTTCAAAGGTTTGCCACCAGACTAGTACCCGAGCTGAGAGGTATGAGCTACAAGGAGAGACTACGGGAATTAAACCTCACTTCGCTGGAAGACAGAAGAGTTAGGGGGGACATGATCACCACATTCAAGATTCTGAAGGGGATTGATAGGGTAGATAAAGACAGTCTATTTAACACAAGGGGCACACACACAAGGGGACACAGGTGGAAACTGAGTGCCCAAATGAGCCACAGAGATATTAGAAAGAACTTTTTTAGTGTCAGAGTGGTTGACAAATGGAATACATTAGGAAGTGATGTGGTGGAGACTGACTCCATACACAGTTTCAAGTATAGATATGATAGAGCCCAATAGGCTCAGGAACCTGTAAACAGAGTGGTAGACGGTTGGAACAAGTTATGGGAGAAGGTGGTGGAGGCCAAGACCGTCAGTAGTTTCAAAGCGTTATATGACAGAGTGCTGGGAAGACGGGACACCACGAGCGTAGCTCTCATCCTGTAACTACACTTAGTTAATTACCAGTTGATTGACGGTTGAGAGGCGGGACCAAAGAGCCAGAGCTCAACCCCCGCAAGCACAATTAGGTGAGTACATTTGGGGTGATTTCACATTTTAATCTTATCGTAATTAAACAGTAGATATAATTTGAGTTGTAGATCACACAACAATATAAAGAACATTTAAATGGCCTCAGCTGAGTCAGTAGTGATGCATCACACTTCATTTACTCTTGGACACGTGAATTGTTAGTGTTTAAAGTCGTCTGGGTATTCCTGGTGTGGTCAGCTCACTATAGTATCATGTGGTCACAATTTACCTAAAGATACCGTACACTGTAATATCTGATGACTACATATATGTACACGTGTTACGCATCAACTTAAATTACTATAATAATGAGACTTACCCTTTGTATATAGTTTTCATGTCTTGTAACGATTAATCCTAGCTATAGAATAAAGAGCCAAATAATCTTAACTAATGAACCGAAATGGCACTTCCCTTACTTCTTGTAGTACGTCGTCCCGGCAGTAAATAGTGACTAAATGAAGTCACACTGATTGCTAGGACACGTTGGGAGTAAATTGAAGTTGTGGGAGGTCCGGGTCTTGGGGCAGGAGTTTCACCACAGCTCACAACATGGGCGGGCGCCTATCTCTTAGACACTGTTTACAAACACTGACTCCACGCGGCGACCAGCATGGTGGGCGCTCTGGCCCCTCCCACTTGCCTCCCTGCGGACGCCTATCCCCAATATTTATTAAGTTTATTCTCTAGATACGTTATTGAGATAAAGTGTGATTATAATATAATTAGATATGGAATTTAAAGATTATTGGTAGTACTTGTAAGCCAATTGATGTTCTGTTTTTTTAATTAAGTCATTCTTCTGGAAGCTTCTAGATTCTTGAGAAATCATGCACCAGATCATACTTCATAGGATCAATTCTATAGTATGATTGACGAGTTCCTTGTCCGAAACTTGGAAAGAATCATCTGTGGGCCCTTAGGGAGCACGTAAGGGCCTACGTGACCAAATGGTCAAGTAGGAACCAGATGTAGGATACAATATAATGAATCTGGTGTGATATATAGATATAGCGGGTAAAGTTTCCCACAATGGTTCACTCACGGTGAACCAGCCATTATGGTTCACTCACGGTGGACCAGCCATAATGGTTCACTTACGGTGGACCAGCCATAATGGTTCACTCACGGTGGACCAGCCATAATGGTTCACTCACGGTGGACCAGCCATAATGGTTCACTCACGGTGGACCAGCCATAATGGTTCACTCACGGTGGACCAGCCATAATGGTTCACTCACGGTGGACCAGCCATAATGGTTCACTCACAGGGACCAGCCATAATGGTTCACTCACGGTGGACCAGCCATAATGGTTCACTCACGGTGGACAGCCATAATGGTTCACTCACGGTGGACCAGCCATAATGGTTCACTCACGGTGGACCAGCCATAATGGTTCACTCACGGTGGACCAGCCATAATGGTTCACTCACGGTGGACCAGCCATAATGGTTCACTCACGGTGGACCAGCCATAATGGTTCACTCACGGTGGACCAGCCATAATGGTTCACTCACGGTGGACCAGCCATAATGGTTCACTCACGGTGGACCAGCCATAATGGTTCACTCACGGTGGACCAGCCATAATGGTTCACTCACGGTGGACCAGCCATAATGGTTCACTCACGGTGGACCAGCCATAATGGTTCACTCACGGTGGACCAGCCATAATGGTTCACTCACGGTGGACCAGCCATAATGGTTCACAGCCATAATGGTTCACTCACGGTGGACCAGCCATAATGGTTCACTCACGGTGGACCAGCCATAATGGTTCACTCACGGTGGACCAGCCATAATTGTTCTCTGACGTTGAGCCAGTAATAACAGGTTAGTCACTTTAGGTCAGCCATCACGGTTCATGCTGAGTCAGATCTCTATCCCCACTTTTCAACAGGTTGCAACTCCAAGCCATCAGCTCCAGCGAACGGGCGGACGGACTGCTCGACGTACGCCGGGTGTCGGGCTGTGTGTAACCCTCGCTACCAGTTTCCAACGGGCGAGCGGCGCCTCTTCCTAACATGTAATGACGGCGAGTGGGAAGTTACCGGTGGCTCCTGGGGCACCCTTCCCAACTGTGAACGTGAGTGCTCACACTGTAGATATTTGAAGGAAAGGAAATTATGAGGAAAAAGACAAAGATGTTTTACTTTTGTCATTAGTAGAAGCAGATTGTTTCAATTCTTCTACTGCATGCACTATTTATGTTTCGTGTAGCACAGCCTAACACTCTCACCTGCCCATCCTCGGCTAACTCCGGTTCCTGCGTCTGTCCACAGCCATCTGTATTCCGCCATGCGAAAACAGCGGCATCTGTCTGGCGCCGGACGTGTGCCAGTGTCCGGACAACTGGGAAGGCAGCTCTTGTGAGATACCCAAGGCGCCGCCCCGCAAGGAATGCTCCACCAAGCCTCCAACTCCAACCAATTCCAGAATATTCTGCAGCAAGAAGTGAGTATCCTGGGTAAAATCATGAGGAAATGTGTAATGGGACACGTGTTGCTATGATAAATATTGACATGATATAAAAGGTAATGGCATGAATAAATTAGCGAAGGAGGAGGAGAGCTTCATTCCTAATAACTGTCAACCCACAGCGAGTGCATTGCCCGATGTCACGAAGGCTATCACTTCTCCGAGGGCACGAGTCGTCTCACCTTTGAGTGTGACAACGGTGTATGGGTCGTCCGCCAGTCTTCCTGGAGCGGCACAACGCCAGACTGTCAGCGTGAGTAGAGATTCTGGCGGTGACAGCTCCTCTGTCAGTCGTCAACCCTGTGACAGATGATGGCTCGCGTGTCAGCCGTCAGTCCTAGGTCAATAGTTAACTTAGTTGATTTAATTCAAAATACACCATTGCCATCCTGTGAGCGGTAGTGTAAATCTTAGAGGCGGGATACAGCAGCATGAGCCATAGTCAGTTTCTTAACGTATACATCGAAACTACATTTGCAGGTATATGTAACATAGCCTAGTCAGTTCATAAAATCCCAGTACACATACCCATAATGTGTGCTGCAGGTTGTATAGTGTCACAAAACGGGCTTAGTTATCAAACATTCGTTTACTGAAATTGTTCATCACAGCATTGATGAACAATTTATAGTTTGTTATTCGTGGTTTAGGCACTAAAATGATGTAGTCGTTTCCTTTATCATCAAGTTACAAGGGATCTTCTGTGCAGTACTGTAGTTGAACGTTGTAGTTCTGTGCAGTGCTGTACATAGATGAACCCTCGTGGGTTCAGTAGACCCCAGGTGTAATCCTTTTGACTATATTGTGGCCTAGTTGTGTGTGGTGTGTGCTGGGGATATCCATCGCATAAGTTCGAATCCTCATCACTGCTCCTTCGGATTTCTCAATAATAATAATAATAATAGTAATAATTATAATAATAATTTTTATTTAGACAAATGTACATACATAAGATACAAGACGTATGTAGTATATATAGGTAAGGCAAGTACCATGCCTAAAGCCACTGATTCGCACAGCGTTTGATCATGATGTGGAAAAAAAATTAAAGCCCTAAAACCATCTTGGATCAAAAGCAAAAATGAACGTCAGTATAGAGATATAGCAAAATATTACATTACATGGTGTTGGCAGAAATTGCAACAGAAAAATAGATAGTAAATTTCACTAAATAAACAGAAGGAATAATTTATTTGTTATTTTTACACGGCAGGAATAAGCAGTTTTACAAGTTCATCAATTAATGTTCAATACCAGCAAAACGTAAGTTGACATTTAGGATGCTGATGGGTTACACAGCGTTACTATAAATACTTTCATTTTAGGAGGATGAACTGGAATATTCAGTTCTCGAGCGTGGGGGGGGGGGGACAGCGACGAGAGAGTAGAGAACTAGGCTTTGTGTGGCTAAGAAGTTAGAATTACTTGGAAAACAATATCAGTGACAATTTTTTTGTTATACATTAGTAATTTTGTTGTTCTATAACAAAGAAATTTACTCCCATTATAATATAAACATATGTATAATTGACTTGATGATATACAGTATTATGAAGACACACTGATTTGTAATATTGAAGCATATTATCTTAAACATTATCTGCTTATACACACACACACATAATGTATGCAAACACAATAAAGTACGTCTCTTTACAGCCATCTGTGACCCCGCCTGTACGAATGAGGGAAGATGTATCGCACCTAATGTGTGTGAATGTACTCCAGAATACCGTGGTGACATCTGCCAGTACCGTAAGTGTGCTTTCTCGGGTGCCTTCTTTTATATATGATGTGCTTGTCTTCCATGGTGGTCAGCATCCACCATCTTACCTCTTGCTCTCTATATGTATGTCATTTTATCTTGTATTTCTTCTTCCTCGTCTTTTTATCTTCTAACATCTATACCTGTTTCTTTGCTTTACACCGTTTAGTCTCTGAATTATCTTCCCTCACTGCTTTATTATGGTGTCTGTGTGTGTTTATAGTATTTGTAATTGTTGTCTCGAACTATTGTAGCTCTTGGATCTGAGTTCAATAGGTACTTAGCCCTTGCCAATATGGCTTCAGACCCAAAAAAGCACTAACGATGCACTTATTAGTATGCTTAACTCGATTCATACAGCTCTTGATAAAAATGAGTTCCCTGTTGGTTTGTTTGTGGACCTGCGTAAAGCTTTTGATACTGTCAACCACCAAAACCTTCTACGTAAATTACATCATTATGGAGTCAGAGGACACTCCCTACAATACCTCAAATCCTACCTTACTGACAGGCTCCAATATGTTTCTGTGAATAATACAATTTCTCCCACCCTACCCATCAACATTGGTGTTCCCCAGGGCAGCATACTTGGCCCTCTCCTCTTTCTCATCTACATTAATGACCTTCCAAATGCCTCCCAACACCTCAAACCAATTCTATTTGCTGACGACACAACCTTCATTTACTCCAGTCCTGATCCCCTTGCTCTAAATGCCACAGTAAATACTGAGCTAAATAAAGTCCACCTGTGGCTAACTGCCAACAAACTCACCCTTAATTCTGACCGCCAGTTGTCTACTGACTCCCTGTCTATTAAATAATTGGTAGAGGTGGACAGCAATTACTTTCAGTTATCGCTTTTATTGGTGTACGTATTGTTAAATACTGTACAGTCTACATTGTTGTGGTACCACAACAAAGATGCGAGATACTTGGACACCCCCAGGCACAAAAGCAGAGAAATATATGTAACAATAACTAGACTAAGACTGGGACATTCCAGACTGAAACGAGGCCGCTTATATTTACAGGACATAGATAAATGAATATTGTATCCAATGTCATGTTCACAGAAAATCGAACATTATCTCCTCCACTGTTGCAGACATCACAGTGTTTGAATCAATTTCAAAGTGCTCTTCAACATCAAACACATATTAGAGAAGACTTCTCATTACATATATAATAGCAAGTATAATCAAAACATTGGGTAAAAGTCCCCAATCAACTAAAAATTAGGCCGCGTCTGACCTAAGCATTGTACCCCAATCATGTAGACAACTGTACAAAGAAAACGTGAAGGCATATGGCTCCAGAGCGGCGGTAAAGATCAGCTGAACCATCACAACATCATTCCCTCACCGCCGAGTACATAAGCTCTAACTCTTAACAACACAAAAACATTCAAGCCTTGCCTGACCCCTCCACATAGACGTCTCTACATCGCCACTCGTGCAGTATTGTGAGGAGCACACCTTCGTGGAAGATATGGCGGCCCTCAGGTAAGAGATGTAGTGAGCAGCAGTACAGGCCGCGCTGTTTACATAGATGGAAGGTGGTGATAATACTGTGCAGCTCTCTGACAATTACTACTTCGAGGGCGATAGTTGTGTCATTGATGTAGTATCAGTACGTCTGCCCACCCTACCATACATTTATTTAGCGTTAAAATCATTACAGCTTGTCAGTTTATGTATTGTGCCGTCATACCCATTCCGTGAGCGGTGGTGGACAGGTATATATATATATATATATATATATATATATATATATATATATATATATATATATATATATATATATATATATATATATATATATATATAAACTGCGTCAATTGTGTGTGTATATATATATATACACACAATTGACGATCACTAAACACTGATCATTTGTATGCGGAAAAACCACAAAGAAATGTGAAAGAGAGATGAACGTTTCGGCCTGTTAAAGCTGTTGTCAACACCAGACTGACTAGAGGAAGAGAGAGAGGATACAGGCCAGCACCAAGGAACCTGACCAACCCATCTCTAGGGAAAGGATTACCAGAAACAGGAGAGGTCGAAGAAGATTAAGCGGTCAGAGAATAAGGAATAAGATTAACGAAAAGCCTCATGAACACACAATAAATGAATATAAAATTGTAATGAGACATTGTAAGCCTCCTTTTCAGAGTTTTTTCTTAAACTGTTGTGTAATATTGTAACTTAAAACAGGGTCAAGTTTGTACATACCAGCACTAACATTGAGAAGATTTGGACATTGACTAATTAGCGCAGAATCAATTAAATTCCGTTCCACAAAGCCATTGCAATTGGCAATGCTTTTCGCCCCATCCCAATTAATAGTGTGATCACACAAACTTGTATGTAGATACAAAGCATTAGACGTTTGGGCAGTTCTTATACTATAAGCATGTTGGGACATACGTAATTGTAAGGATTTTCCTGTTTGTCCAAGGTACACAGACTCACAATCATTGCAGGGAATCGAATACACACAACCTGCTGTACCAGGGGAGTTTTTTATTAAATTAAACTTGATCGTATTATTACTGAACACCAAATTGATATATTAAGGCTCTTAAAAACTGGGGAAAGTTTCTCAAATCCCATCGCATAAGGTACCACCAATGAGTTTCTATTTTCTGGTTTCGCTTTGGAGACATTATTATAAAACGTACGTTTAGCTTTCCCAAACGAACAATCCAAAAACATCTTAGGGTACTGTAAACTCTTCCCAATTTCATATATTTTACCTATCTCTTCATCAAAAAACTCAGAGCTGCATACCCTGTTGTAACATTTCTTCCCTCTCATGTTCATCTCTGCCTTATCCTATACTAATCCTTGCTACAGAAACCTCCTTCCTTTCCATTACTTATTCTAATTTATCTTTAAACTTGCTATGTTTATTAGTAACGTCTCAAACTATGAGTAACATTTGTGACTATGTTTTGTATTGATGTTTAAGAAATACTTTTAGATTGCTCCTAAGAACGCAACTCCAGAGATAATATCCGTAACGATACTTTCAGCTATATCAAACTGCGACCCCAAGAATCTTGGCTTCAACGGTGGGTACAACTGCTCGGGCGAGGGCATGGACTTCGGGTGTGTTCTCTGGTGCCCAGCGGACGTAGAGTTCGATTTCCCAGCTGCGGAGTTCTACACCTGCGACTACAGCTCCGGCGTCTGGTCTCCGTCGCCCATACCCATGTGTGACTATGGTAAGGCCTCCTACTTTTGCACAGACAAATAAACATTCTGTTTTACAGATAATCGTTTGTGTAATTCTTGTGATACTTGACCATTTAGTGCGTGGAGTGCCACTCTACCACATACGAGTGAATAACGGATACTGCTTGAGCATAATTTGACGTTGCAGGATTCTTAGCAGTAACTCCCTCGCCCTTTGAGCCAAGTCGTGGGACGTACCCGCCATTATTCGGTGTAGACGCCAGCTTAATTACTACCACACAAAAGGTCAAGAAGCTGCCAGGCTCCTGCTTCACCTGGTCTGGCACTCACTTCAAGTCTTTTGATGGAAAAGTGTACAGGTGAGGCAAGGTTGATGTTTACCTGTCTGGTACAAGGTGAGGTTCACAACACATTGTATATAGTCATGACGTTAGTGGCAAATATTATTATAGCAAGAATTATCCTTGTAGTACTCAACGTACTACAAGGATAATTACATGCAAATATTCCTTTTGCCTTTCTGGATATCGAACCCCGTGATAGACGGCATTTGTTTTGGCTGGTGTGTGTGACCATCAGGGGTAACACAGGTGAAGCCTAACATTCACAACGTCACTAAACTGATGTACTAAACTGCCCGCACCTGAGGACCAACAATAGAAAACGTGACATCACATCAATATTGCGAGCCGCTTTGCTTTTAATACATCAGTTTTTGGCCTTAGGGGAATGTATAGGTCAACATGTAGTTTATATATTGTAGAGGACGAGTTGCCGGTAGTGTTCTTAGTCTTATATAACCCATTGTTTTATCCAGTCGCTGTAAAGCCTTGCTTAAAATCATCATATATTTCTATATTATATTTGACAACTGAGATATACAATATCAGGCTATTGAATATTTTGATGAAAGTACGGCGAACTTTATTGTATTTTTAACTGCAAAGTTAAATCATTGCAATTGTGTTAGAGAGTGGAGCAGGTCACGCTGCAGATATACGACACAGGGGTGAGGGTGTTATGTTAGCGTGATCTTGACACACGGTAAACCTCCAGTGCTTATAATGTGAGGCAGTATATATATGTATATACATGCTACTTTCTGGCAACAATGGAGTGTCATTAGCACTAACTGCTACATTCTAGCAACAATTGAGTGTCATTAGCACTAACAGCTATATTCTAGCAACAATGGGGTGTCATTAACACTAACTGCTAAATTCTGGCAACAATGGAGTGTCATTAGTACTGCTACATTCTGGCAACAATTGAGTGTCATTAGCATTAACTGCTACATTCTAGCAACAATTGAGTGTCATTAGCACTAACTGCTACATTCTGGCAACATTGGGTGGGTCATTAGCACTAACTGCTACATTCCCAGGATGCAGTCCATAACAGTTCGCTCACTCTGAGTACTCATTTTCTGCTAGGTGAACAAAGGCATCAGATGCAAAGAAACGTGTCTAAGCATCTTGCCCTGTCCGAGCACCGAACTTGGGTCCAGCTCCTTGTGAGCAGGATGCGAGAACCACTGTGTTGTTGGTCAGATCATTGTATTAAAATGCCGACTCCTGCAAAGCTTCGACAATTACTATTACAAACATATGTTCTCTTCTGGACAGCTTCGAGACCCCGTGTCATAACCATGTGTCCCCTTGACAGCTTCATGACCCCGTGTCATAACCATGTGTCCCCTTGACAGCTTCGAGACCCCGTGTCATAACCATGTGTCCCCTTGACAGCTTCGAGACCCCGTGCCCCTTGACAGCTTCATGACCCCGTGTCATAACCATGTGTCCCCTTGACAGCTTCGAGAGCTCGTGTCCCTACACCCTGCTGCAGGACTCGTCCCATGGAACCTTCACCGTCAACTTGCGCACGGCTGACGGCTGTCAAGGGTCATCTTGCCCCAAGGTCATCCAGATCTTCCTAGAGGACGACGAGTATGTTCTCCAGGCCACAGGTCAGTCCCACGTGTTGGTCCCACTTGTTCTTGTTAGGTCATGTTATCTTCTTTGCTACGTCATAATATTTTCATGCTTAGTCATGTTATCGTCTTGCTTAGTCATGTTATCTTGTTGCTAGGTGTGAGATTTTGCCTTTAGGATTGACCTTAGAAAGGCGGGAGCAACCGCCAGGACCTCAACACAATGTTGAAGTCTCTATCCGCTGAGGCGTCGAGCTCAAGTCACGTAGCACTAGTAAGGGTAACCCACGGGTTCTCACTTTGATACTTTATTGACTTTGGCGCTATGAATCAGGTTTCAAATTCCCAGAAGCAGGAGTTCAGATAAAAATTCACATGAACCATTGCAGTATTAAAATGTGGGAATAATTATGTTGAGGGGTTGACATAAAGACCGTTCTCTAACAATCAACTAAGTACAAGGGCGTGGAGAAATTATAGAAAGAATAAGGCACTAGTGAGCAGAGTAAAGATACCAGAGCGCCAGGAATGAATACGTCAGGGTGAGAATTACCAGTGGGGAGGTGAGGAAGCACCTGCTAGAGTTGTAAGTGACAAAGGCTATAGGCCAGGATGGAATCTCACCTTGGATACTGAAGGAAGGAGCAGAAGCTCTGCCCCAGTCACTCTCCATGGTGTATAGCAAATCACTGGTAACAGATGAACTGCCAAAAATTTGGAAGATGGCTAATGTAGTCCCCGATATTCAAGAAAGGTGATAGACAGGAAGTACTAAACTACAGGCCAGTGTCACTAACTTGCATACCATGTAAGGTGATGGAGAAGATTGTGCGAAAAAAGCTAGTGGAACATCTGGAGCGGAAGAACTTTGTATCACAACATCAGCATGGGTTCAGGGATGGCAAATCATGCCTCAAAGGTTTAATTGAATTTTATGACCAGGCAAGGAAGAGAGGGGTGGGCAGACTGCATATTTTTGGATTGTCAGAACGCCTTTAACACAGTACCACATTAGAGACTAGTGCACAAACTGGAGAGGCAGGAGTGAAAGGGAAGGTACTCCACTGGATAAGGGAGTACCTAGGCAACAGAAGACAGCGAGTCACTGTGGGGGATGAGGTCTCGGAGTGGCGAGGCGTCACTAGTGGAGTCCCGCAGGGGTCAGTTCTTGGGCCTATACTGTTCTTGATATATGTAAATGATCTCCCGGAAGGAATTAGACTCGTTTCTCTCAATGTTTGTTGATGATGCAACAATTATGAGGAGGATTAAGACAGAGTAAGATAGTATGAGGCTACAAGATGACCTAAATAAACTGAAGGAATGGTCCAATAAATGGCTACTAATAGGAGGCCAGACACAGGGTACCGACTGGGAGATGAAGTCCTTCATGAAACGGACAGAGAGAAAGATCTAGGAGTTGATATCACACCAAACCTGTCTCCTGAAGCCCACATAAAAAGAATAACGTCTGTGGCGTATGCGAGGCTGGCTAACATCAGAACTGCCTTCAGGAACCTGTGTAAGGAATCATTCAGAACCTTGTACACCACATATGTAAGACCAATCCTGGAGTATGCGGCCCCAGCATGGAGCCCCGTACCTTGTCAAGCACAAGACGAAGCTGGAAAAAGTTCAGAGGTATGCCACTAGGCTAGTCCCAGAACTAAGAGGCATGAGTTACGAGGAAAGGCTGCGAGAAATGCACCTCAAGACACTAGAAGACAGAAGAGTAAGGGGAGATATTATCACTACCTTCAATTTTTTCAGAGGAATTGACTGGGTAGATAAGGATAAACTGTTTAACACGGGTGGTACGCGAACAAAGGGAAACAGGTGGAAACTGTGTACTCAAATGAGCCACAGGGACGTTAGAAAGAACTTTTTCAGTATCAGAGTAGTTAACAAGTGGAATGCATTAGGCAGTGATGTGGTGGAGGCTGACTCCATACACAGTTTCAAGTGTAGATATGATAGAGCCCAATAGGCTCAGGAATCTGTACACCTGTTGATTGACGGTTGAGAGGCAGGACCAAAGAGCCAGAGCTCAACCCCCGCAAGCACAACTAGGTGAATACACACACACACACGCATTCCCCCCCCCCTTCCCACACACACACACACACCGCCATGTGTAACCAGAGCCGCTTGTGTCCACAGAGACGGGTGAGCCAAGTCTGGCCTACCGGGACACCAACCTGGCCATCCCTGGTCAGATGAACGGTGTTGTGTCGGAGAGAGTGGCCCACTTCGTGGTGGTCAAGGTGTCCGGCCTGGGACTGACCATCAAGTGGGACATGAAGGTAAGTCACCAGCACGGTGGAGTGTGAGGTCAGTGGTACTTACCCATTAGTGTTCATGTGGGAGTGAGGTCTGTCTCTTTATTCCCCGCCTACTAGCCTTGTACCTGTTGCCTTTCAACCGAACTAATTTTCAAATTCTTTGTCCAATTGGGCCTCAAAGTTGTGGATGGAGGTGGCTTCCACAACTTCTTCTTTTAGAACATTCTATTTGTTAACAACCCATTCAAGGTACGAGTACTTTCTTACGTCCCTTCGGGTCATTTGCGTTTCCAGCTTCCACCTGTGTCCTCTTGTCCTGCTTTCTCTCAATCTGAAGAAGTTATCCTTGTCCACCTTATTTATTTCCCTCATTATCTTGTAAGTTGTGATCATATCCCCTCTGTTCCTTCTATACTTTAGGGTCATGAGATTTAGTTCCATTAGCCTATCTTCATAGATCATTATGCCTCATTAGGGTGGGCAGCCCTGCTATCTCCCTCTGTAGTACTCTCTGTTTCACTGGTAAGCAGGTCTGGTCCACTATTTCCCCAGGTTCTACTCTCTGTTGTCAGATTTGCATTATCCCATGTGCCACTTTCTGGTTGCCTTGCATTTCTCCGTTGCTTTTCTTCTCTGATTCTCTGTACTGTTTCCCTTTTCTCCTTAGACATGTCCTGTCTAATAAACACAGCATGGTACTTTTCCTCATTTCTTAATATCTCTTCTCTGCCAGTATATACTTAACTGGGTTGCTGTTCATAAAAATCACTTTCACTGGTCGGTTTCTTCCTCTCTGAAACTCACCTAACCTGCAGAAATGCTCCATTTTCTTTGTTGCATTTCTGGCCTGAATTTTGCATAGAATTTCTGTTATTTTATTCTGTTCTATCTCCTTATTTGCCAAGTGTCTCCCTCACGCTCAGGTAGGTTACATATTATTTCTGATCTCTCCCTCTCCAACTCCTGCCTTATATATTTCATGACTTGGGTAGTTTATACAGCCTCTGACACTGTTTCCTTAATTATCTTCTTTCCCTCTGAACACTTTACTGCCTCAACAAAAGTTTTATCTGGTCTTACTCCTCAAAACTCGTTTACATTCTCAATTTGTTTAATTCTTTGTCTCTGTTATCTTACTCACTTCCTCTGTTGCCTTTGCTTCCTCTTCTCCCTGTTTGTATTGAGGCCCACTTGGTGGTGGTCAAGGTGTCCGGCCTTCATCTGACCACCAAGTATAACATGAGTGTAAGTCAGCAGCACAGTGTAGATAGACTTAAGAGATGCGTTATAATATGCCAAAGAGAGCATTTGACAAAATAGCATTGATGTACTGAAATACAATATCAAGTTAGGCATTGCCTGGAAGGTGGAAGCGTGAGTGAGATGTTCCATGCTCCCCAGAGCTTGGTGGTGACGGAGATAAGCGAACTGCTGTGGAACAGGACGTCAGGACTTTGTGGTCGCCGTGATGGCTCCCAGGACAACGACTGGAGCTACGCTGACGGCACCCTGGAGCCTAACGTCAACTCCTTCCTGCAGGCGTGGCAGGCCAAGACCCTTGGAGGTTAGTATAGTCCTTCCTCTCATATATATATGCTCCAACCCATCCTCCTGAAATGATAGTACTTATAGTAACTATTTGCTGGAAAATACCACTATGTAGTGATGGTCCACCAGTACACCACCTTTTGTACGTATAATTTTATAGATTCCGGAAAAATAATGCTAAAAACTAATCTTAAATATTCCTAGGCCTAGTATAGCACATATATTTGCTATATTAATCCTAAGATAGCAGATATTAGGCTTATAATTGTTAGGAGAGGTTAGGTTAGACCAACACTTATGTTGTGGTTAAAAATGTTTCCAGTTTGTCCAAAGTGAATAACACAACAGGCAGCTTTCAGGTAGTCCATCACTACATATTGGTACGTCCCACCATATGCCTGTTATAAGTACTTTCATATAAGGAGGACTGATTGATATTTTCCTACAAGCTTGAGCTTTGAGCTTTGATGTCCAAAGAGCTTGGTGAGGATGTGGGAGGAAGAAGGATGGGGCAGTGAAATTCTTAGAACAGGATCTGAATGTGGAGAGAGGAGGCTTGAAAGTTCGGTGGCCTTTCCACCGTGGATTGGAGATGTTTTCTCGGTCAAGCCTGTGGCTTGAGTACTTCTTAGGCGGCAGGAGGCTAGTGGTGAGGCGGTGTGATGTCGTCCTGGTTCACTTGAGGTGAGGTCTGGCTTGGAGGAGGCATCTTCCCTATTGAGATGGTGAGAGGTAGGTTCACTGTTGCTTGGAGGTGCTTTGGCAGGGAGGTATTCGCATGTACTTTCCAAATGACAGCGGTAGTATTGGAGTTCCTATCGGGTCTTCGTACTTGTCCAAGAAGGGCAATTGTCCTTTCTTGAAGTTGAATTTCAGGTCGATGTATTCTCTCTTCAGGGCGATGAGGTCTACATATTGTTCCACGGTCTCGTGATGGACAAAGATAGGGTGAGGAAATTATTTTTGGTTTGTGTCAGGGTGGTTTGTGAAGAGTTCGACGAGCCGGTTGCATTCTAAGGCGATGACTATTCTTGTGCTACTGTTGCCGTTGGAAACATCATCGTGGAGGAAGATGGCAAAGTAAGGTTTTTCCTTGCTTGGGCTGCTTGGGTTTGGATCAAAGTCTGGATCCACGTATGTAATGTTCTTTGCCAAATTGTCTGGATCAATTGGTTCCTGTGGTTGTGGATATGGTTCTGATTCTGATTCTGAATCTGATTCTACTTGTTGGCGTTTTGCTTTCCTTTTTGCCTTTGTCACCCGCCTGTTGACAGTAGGCGTTGAGGCTTCCATTGGTTGTTGAGATGACTGGTCTGGGGTGGAGGTGGACTGGGTGGATGTTGATGTCTGGGTAACTGGTGTTGTTGACACTGGTGTTGGGTCAGCCTCAGAGGGGGTGGTAGTGGCATGGCTTCGGTTGTTGTTGGTGTTGGAAGCTGGTCTGTTTGGGTTGAAGCAGCGTTTTGAGGCTGTAGCAGGTCCGCTGAGATTGTCATGGTAGGTAGATTGTTTTGGGTGAGCAGCATATTCAGTATTCTCACGTATTTGGCGACGTCTGTTCCTGCCATGTTCTCAGCTACACTGATCAGGGATGGGATGCTAGTGGTAGCGACCGAGACCGCTGATTGGTTGACAGGAGAGTTGGCTGGCTGGGCTGCAGTCGCCTGTGTGCTGGGTCCCCAGTGGAGTAGGAGGGTTCTGGCCTGGTGTGGATGTCTGTGCAGCAGGAGCGTTGGGAAGCACTGGGAACGACGTAGCCTGGATATTGAAGCTCGCCGGCTGAATGGTTGTTGGGTTGGCAGTTGCTGTTTTCTTGATTTCGTCAAGTCGTACTTGGCAGTCCATGGAGACGGCGGTGTGAACTCCTCCACAATTCAGACACAAGTTGCTGGCAGACTGGCAGGTTTTGAACTGGTGATCTTGGGTGCAAATGCTGTACTTTGCCTCTGCTTGTGGACAGTTCCTGGTAACATGGTCGAATATAACACTTAAAACATTGGCGGTCGATGTAGTAACGCTCCTTCTTGACAGTGTCAGGTGTAATGGAAATGTCCAAGCATCTGAATCCATTTTCCGTTGCTGCAGCAGCTGTTGTGAAGGTGACCTTGAGAGTGGGCCTTGGGGTGTCGTCGTTCTTGATGACTTTGACTTTAGCTGCAGTCAGAGCAGGGTTCCTGGAGTTGATGCTATCAAGTATGTTGTCCGGGTCCTGGGTGGTGATGTAGACACTCGTGTGGCTGACGAAGATGGTTCGTTCAGCCAAGGAGCGTCGGGTAGGAGTAATGATAAGGTTGGAGTTTCGTAGGGCGTCCTGGTGCTCTTGTGCAAACAGTTGCTCCAGAGCTTCCTCGCTTGAATAGAGAAGTACAGCGCCATCGGCATCGTCGCGGATGTCCAATGGAGCAGCATTCGTAATGTCGACGATTTTCTTTAGTAATTGGGGCCCATTGTATCTGGTTTCGTCCCGAAACCGGACTTTGATGCGGTAGATCATGATGATGGTGAATCACAAGCCATATTGTCTTCCATCCATTCTATTTAAGTGTATGAATCCTCTAAGGCATCTTTGCTTGCTAGACAGGTGTTGTTTTCTCCCTGTTACTTGCTTCATATTACAAGTACATAAACATGCGGGACAGTCAGGTCATGCCACCCCATACATTTTCTTCTCCCAGTCATGCCACCAATATATGTTCTTCTCCCAGTCATGCCACCAATATATGTTCTTCTCCCAGTCATGCCACCAATATATGTTCTTCTCCATGCTGAAGAACACGAGTACTGTCAGATTTTGGCGCATTCTTTGTCACATTTAAAGTTTAAATTTAGTTTTCTTTAAAAATTCATCATAAAATCTTGTATGTAGTTATTATGTCCCCTTTGTTTTTCCTTACTTCCTGGTTGGTGAGGTCCAGTTCCCTCAATCTTTCCTTGTAGCTCGGGCCCCTCAGCTCAGGAACGAGTTTTGTGGCATATATTTAGACATGTTCTAGTTTTGCTTTGTGCTTTTCCAAATGAATATTCATGCTGGGGCTGCGTACTCTAGAACAGGTCTCACATACGTTATATATTTAGGGCCCTGAAGGTCCCTTTGTCAACATTTCTGAAGGCAACACGGACGTTGTCCAGCGTGCCATAGGACGCTGACTTTTGGTCCGCTAATGTGAGCTTTTGCCTCGGTGGATGTATCCACGCCCAGCTTTATCGCCTTTTCTGCTGCAAGAATTTGTCTTTCCTTCGTTATTTTCTGCGGTACAGTTCTTCTCATTCTTGTTCCAGTCCTCATAAACTTACATTTGGCTTGGTTAAATTCTAGCGGTCATTTTTCTTGCGTGTAAAGATCCCTTTCAAATGAAGGTTGGGAGTCTCTGCCAGGGGTTATTGAGTACTCCATTGAAGGTTGAGAGGCAAGTCCCAGAGGATCGAGGTCAATCCTCGTTAGCACAACGTAAGTGCCATTAGTGCCCACGTAAATGCATAATACAATCTGAACATGTAAACAGTTGAAATTGTATTATGTATTTGTACATTTCTGCTGGTATTTAGGAGCTGCCTCGTACGGGCCACTTGGCCTTCGGCAGTTACCTTTATTCTTATGTTCATATTTATGGTCCTCTTATCTTAAATAAGCATACAAATTGTGTCATTGCAGAGCGGTGTCTGGACCGGCCAAAGACTAAGCATCCGTGTGGCCGAAAATCTGTAGGTTCCGAAGCTGACAGATTCTGCGCTCGTCTCCGAGATGACCCAAGATTTGAAGAGTGTCGCCAGGTGAGGTGCTAGCTCCTGGGACCTGGCAAGCTGCCGGGAGGGGGAGGGGTGGGAGGACACCATTATATCACTACCACTTACACTCTCACATGGCTCTTCTACACAAACCATTTCTCTACCTGCGAAATATTAAGCCGATTCCATTTGTTCCTACATTAATGAGTGAAAAACTTAATTGGCATAAACCATTAACCTCGAGTTAACCCTTATATGTTAATTGGCGTAATAGGCTCTCTATGAGTTATTAGTTTACTGGGAGTTCATTGTGGAACTGATTGTGTAGTAAGAATATGTGTAACCATTAAGTTGTTGTGTTGGGGTGTTGAGAGAGTGTGTGCTGTGTGCAGGTGGTGGACGTGGAGCCCTTCGTCAGCACCTGCCGCTGGGACTACTGCGACTGTCACTCCCAGGACCGGGAGACCTGTTCCTGTGAAACCTTCGCCGCCTTCTTCAGGGAGTGTATCAGTGTCGGGATAAACATCCCGGACGGCTGGCGCTCACAGGATCTCTGCCGTAAGTGCCATGTTACATTGACTTGAATTTGTTTAATGATCGAGGTTCTCATCAATATTTGACATGAATTATAGCAACGTGTTAAATCTAGTGTTCTTGTTATGAATGTGAGACATTAGACAGTGCGCTTCTCGTGCTTGAGGAACATGCTAGTGTCGTTCATGAACCTGGCTTGTCCTGAGTAGAAGAGTCTCATTTTGAATGTCTAACATTTTCCTATTTTCATCGATTATCTTCGCCATTACTTTCCATTAAATTAAACTGGAAAACAGGCTAGTGATAATGAAGACAAATATGAATAGTATTTTTTTATTTTCACTATTGTATAATATGATACTTGGTGATGGTTACAACAGCGATGGTGTGCGAGTCTGGCAAGGGGTACAACCCCTGCATGTCTGCCATCCAGCCCCGGTGTGGCCAGGCGGCAGACAGTGTGCGTCCAGACTTCTGCGTGGAGGGGTGCGACTGTCCCGCCAACCTGGTGCTCCACCAGAACCTCTGCATCCCCGCTCAGGACTGTCCCTGCACCTACCGCGACAAGGTCTACAGCACCGGGGACACCATACCCAACGACTGTAATTCTTGGTGCGTCTTGTGTTCAAGGACACGTTTGCTTGTAGTGTGGAATGAATGATGGCCGCCTTGTCTTCTTGTCCACCCATTCTCACTATTCTTTTGCAGAATCACCAATGATGGTCAAATTAACATAGTCAACATAGAGGTAGCAGACTGTTACAATCATATGCTTTTACTTATGCCTCCAAAGTGAAGAGAATGCCCATTATTCTCCACCAACTTTGCTGTGACCTTTGCCTCAGACGCCCTAAGCTGTCTGGAGCAAAGGTGACAGCACTGAGCATCAATAAGTCTTCAGACGTTTTGAAATGACCTGGTTGGCGCCGACTCTTATGTTGAGCTGTGGCACAGTTTCACAAGGCACTTGTTTAGCCTAGTTACGTCACCGTAGTAGGACCCATCATCCCCAGGATACTGGAAGGTCGCTGGAGACATGAGGTACTGGGTGTGTGGCCAGGTGTGTGTTGAGTGTAGCGTAGGTGTGTGGTGCCTCGCTGTGGGACGGGGTGTCCACAGCACGTGCCTGGGAGGGGAGTGATCATGACATATTGTCCACAGCACGTGCCTGGGAGGAAACTGGGTGTGTACAGAGGTCAAGTGTGGCTCCCGGTGTGCCGTGGTGGGAGACCCTCACTACACTACCTTCGATGGCCGCCATTTTGACTTCATGGGCAAGTGTTCGTACTACCTGGTCCAGGGCCAAGACTTCAGCATCGAGGCCGAGAACACGCCCTGCGCTGGCGCCATTTCTGAGGTAAGTGGTCGTCATTCACTTACCAACCAGGACATTCACGCTACACTGCTGTAAACGGCTGGTAAAGGAACCGTTGTAATTCAAACTGAAGACCCGTTATGAAACATGTTTAAATAATTGACGATTTTCTTATGATTTATAAAAGGAAGATGTTAAACTGCTCTTTAAGTATACTTATCTGGTTATATATAGTTAACATGTTGACTGTTCATGAACATGAGGTATATCGAGCGAGGCTACATGTACACAGTGCAAGTTTAATGTAGAGGTGTGCAGGGGCGTGTGTGTGGAGAGCTGTGCCTCGCACCTCGGGTGATTGGCCTTAAGTCCATCACCAGACCAATAACTGAGCTTCATTATGGTATACTTGACGAGTTACCAGTTCAGGTTGATTTTGGTCCTGATGATCCTGGCCTCTGATAGGTCTCAAACATTGAAGTCTTGCTCCATAATGTTGTTGGTGGGGGGGGGGGGGGCGGGGGCGGCGAGCCTGGTCCACCCCCCCCCCCCCCCCGCCCCGACGCCTGCTGCTGGCGCAATTCGTTCTCGCACTTTCTTTCAGTCAATATTGACTTATTAAATACGTGCATATGTGACATACTAAACATACTAGTTTACCTTGAAAAGCTTCATAGAAAACACCGACCTTACCTAATCTTCTTAGTCTGTTAAGATAAGCATCTTATTGCTTCATAATTACAATTATTACTTAACCTATACCTTTAATAGGTTATCTTGAGGTTATCTTGAGATGATTTCGGGGCTTAAGTGTCCCCGCGGCCCGGTCCTCGACCAGGCCTCCACCCCCAGGAAGCAGCCCGTGACAGCTGACTAACACCCAGGTACCTATTTTACTGCTAGGTAACAGGGGCATAGGGTGAAAGAAACTTTGCCCAGTGTTTCTCGCCGGCGCCTGGGATCGAACCCAGGACCACAGGATCACAAGTCTAGTGTGCTGTCCGCTCAGCCGACCGGCTCCCTTAAGTAAGTAATAATTGTAATTACGAAGCAATGAGACGCTTATCTTAACATACTAAGAAGGTTAGGTAAGGTCGGTGTTTTCTATGAAGCTTTTCAAGGTAAACTAGTATGTTTAGTATGTCACATATGCACGTATTTAATAAGTCAATATTGACTATACGAAATTGCGAGAACGGGTTGGTTGGCGGGGAGGGGCGGGGAGGAGCCTGGTCCACACCCCCCCCCCCCCGACGCCTGCTGTTGGCGGGGACGAGCCTGGTCCACTCACACCCCCCCCCCCCCCGACGCCTGCTGGGGTCACTTCCTGCTCGTTCGTCTTCAATATTGCCAATTAAACACATTACCTACTAACATATTTATTCATTAGCATATACAATGTATTAAACCAAGTGTTTAATTCGTGTATACTATTGTATAGTGTTATCAAGTATTACTGGAGTGTATACTTTAACATTAATCTTTGTTGTCAATGATTTCCAAGTAATTCACACAACAACAAACATGTTGATATTTTAGTCAAAGTTTATTATTGTGGCTCATTTGTCTCTTCCTAATGAAGAACTATTGACCTCATAAATAACATTTATAATAGTGAGTGTTCATGTTCGTGCACATTATAAGGAGAAGGTGAGGTGTGCACGCGGGCGGAGTAAGGGTACAGGACGGGCGGACGGGCGGTGCTCTGGTGTGTGGCGGGCGGGCTCTTCCACGCCCACAGTCTGGCGGGTGTTCTGCAGGAGATACTTTAGAAGCTCATCATGGTTTAGTCGGTAGTGCGTGTTCCTGGGCAGCCCTGAGAGACGGGTTCCATTTCACTGTACACCTTCAGTATTATATTGTCTTATCCGTGTTCACATTTTGTAATGTCTTGTCAAACTTTCCGTGAAAGTTTTCCTGTATCCAGACACCGATTTTGGTGGATCATTGTGGAGCGTGACACCTCTGCTCTTCCTCCCCTGGGTGTTACTAGTGTTCCTGCTGACCCCCAGTAACTGCCGCTGTTACTAGTGTGGCTGCTGACCCCCAGTAACTGCTGCTGTTACTAGTATGGCTGCTGACCCCCAGTAACTGCCGCTGTTACTAGTGTGGCTGCTGACCCCCAGTAACTGCTGCTGTTACTAGTGTGGCTGCTGACCCCCAGTAACTGCCGCTGTTACTAGTGTGGCTGCTGACCCCCAGTAACTGCCGCTGTTACTAGTGTGGCTGCTGACCCCCAGTAACTGCTGCTGTTACTAGTGTGGCTGCTGACCCCCAGTAACTGCCGCTGTTACTAGTATGGCTGCTGACCCCCAGTAACTGCCGCTGTTACTAGTGTGGCTGCTGACCCCCAGTAACTGCCGCTGTTACTAGTGTGGCTGCTGACCCCCAGTAACTGCCGCTGTTACTAGTATGGCTGCTGACCCCCAGTAACTGCCGCTGTTACTAGTGTGGCTGCTGACCCCCAGTAACTGCCGCTGTTACTAGTGTGGCTGCTGACCCCCAGTAACTGCCGCTGTTACTAGTGTGGCTGCTGACCCCCAGTAACTGCCGCTGTTACTAGTATGGCTGCTGACCCCCAGTAACTGCCGCTGTTACTAGTGTGGCTGCTGACCCCCAGTAACTGCCGCTGTTACTAGTGTGGCTGCTGACCCCCAGTAACTGCCGCTGTTACTAGTGTGGCTGCTGACCCCCAGTAACTGCCGCTGTTACTAGTATGGCTGCTGACCCCCAGTAACTGCTGCTGTTACTAGTGTGGCTGCTGACCCCCAGTAACTGCCGCTGTTACTAGTATGGCTGCTGACCCCCAGTAACTGCCGCTGTTACTAGTGTGGCTGCTGACCCCCAGTAACTGCCGCTGTTACTAGTATGGCTGCTGACCCCCAGTAACTGCTGCTGTTACTAGTGTGGCTGCTGACCCCCAGTAACTGCCGCTGTTACTAGTATGGCTGCTGACCCCCAGTAACTGCCGCTGTTACTAGTGTGGCTGCTGACCCCCAGTAACTGCCGCTGTTACTAGTATGGCTGCTGACCCCCAGTAACTGCTGCTGTTACTAGTGTGGCTGCTGACCCCCAGTAACTGCCGCTGTTACTAGTATGGCTGCTGACCCCCAGTAACTGCCGCTGTTACTAGTGTGGCTGCTGACCCCCAGTAACTGCTGCTGTTACTAGTATGGCTGCTGACCCCCAGTAACTGCTGCTGTTACTAGTATGGCTGCTGACCCCCAGTAACTGCCGCTGTTACTAGTATGGCTGCTGACCCCCAGTAACTGCCGCTGTTACTAGTATGGCTGCTGACCCCCAGTAACTGCCGCTGTTACTAGTATGGCTGCTGACCCCCAGTAACTGCTGCTGTTACTAGTATGGCTGCTGACCCCCAGTAACTGCCGCTGTTACTAGTATGGCTGCTGACCCCCAGTAACTGCTGCTGTTACTAGTGTGGCTGCTGACCCCCAGTAACTGCCGCTGTTACTAGTATGGCTGCTGACCCCCAGTAACTGCTGCTGTTACTAGTATGGCTGCTGACCCCCAGTAACTGCCGCTGTTACTAGTATGGCTGCTGACCCCCAGTAACTGCCGCTGTTACTAGTATGGCTGCTGACCCCCAGTAACTGCCGCTGTTACTAGTATGGCTGCTGACCCCCAGTAACTGCTGCTGTTACTAGTATGGCTGCTGACCCCCAGTAACTGCTGCTGTTACTAGTATGGCTGCTGACCCCCAGTAACTGCTGCTGTTACTAGTATGGCTGCTGACCCCCAGTAACTGCTGCTGTTACTAGTGTGGCTGCTGACCCCCAGTAACTGCTGCTGTTACTAGTATGGCTGCTGACCCCCAGTAACTGCTGCTGTTACTAGTATGGCTGCTGACCCCCAGTAACTGCCGCTGTTACTAGTATGGCTGCTGACCCCCAGTAACTGCCGCTGTTACTAGTATGGCTGCTGACCCCCAGTAACTGCCGCAGTTACTAGTATGGCTGCTGACCCCCAGTAACTGCCGCTGTTACTAGTATGGCTGCTGACCCCCAGTAACTGCCGCTGTTACTAGTATGGCTGCTGACCCCCAGTAACTGCCGCTGTTACTAGTGTGGCTGCTGACCCCCAGTAACTGCCGCTGTTACTAGTATGGCTGCTGACCCCCAGTAACTGCCGCTGTTACTAGTGTGGCTGCTGACCCCCAGCAACTGCTGCTGTTACTAGTGTGGCTGCTGACCCCCAGTAACTGCCGCTGTTACTAGTATGGCTGCTGACCCCCAGTAACTGCCGCTGTTACTAGTATGGCTGCACCACTAATATTTGTACTCCTAATGCTACATGATGCACAAGTAAGAGTCAAATACAGGCGATGAGTCACAATAACGTGGCTAAAGTATGTTGACCAGACCACACACTACACGGTGAAGGGACGACGACGTTTCGGTCCGTCCTGGACTTGAGAATGGTCCAGGACGGACCGAAACGTCGTCGTCCCTTCACCTTCTAGTGTGTGGTCTGGTCAACAAGCAAGATTCAAGTTATTGTAAGACACTGAGGATGCGCTTGAGGGTGAGGATTGGTCGTTGAGTGTGTTCGGTCGCCAGGCTTATTATGGACTTGCTCCGGGTCTTGAGTCTGTTCTTCAGCGTTGTTCTCCCGTCGTCCTTGCTGCTGGTGCTGTTAGAGAGGTTGAAGGTGGAGGCGGAGGAGTACCTGAGGGTGGAAGAGGTCCTGGCGCCAGCACCCCTGTGGTACACCAGCCACTGCGTCACGAGGGCGCTGCTTCCCGCCTCCACCCACGACGACCTGGCCAAACGTAACAACATGAAAACAACAATAATGAAGACTGTACCAGAAGTATTGGCCTATAGGAGGCAGAACTTGTTTGTTTACACTCAGACTTTCTGGTACTCTTCTCACCGTCACAAACTCATTTATTATAACCCCATGCCCGTCCCGTGGGTGGTGGTGGACCCCATGGACCCCATGCCCGTCCCGTGGGTGGTGGTGGACCCCATGGACCCCATGCCCGTCCCGTGGGTGGTGGAGGACCCCATGGACCCCATGCCCGTCCCGTGGGTGGTGGAGGACCCCATGGACCCCATGCCCGTCCCGTGGGTGGTGGTGGACCCCATGGACCCCATGCCCGTCCCGTGGGTGGTGGTGGACCCCATGGACCCCATACCCGTCCCGTGGGTGGTGGTGGACCCCATGGACCCCATACCCGTCCCGTGGGTGGTGGTGGACCCCATGGACCCCATGCCCGTCCCGTGGGTGGTGGTGGACCCCATGCCCGTCCCGTGGGTGGTGGAGGACCCCATGGACCCCATGCCCGTCCCGTGGGTGGTGGTGGACCCCATGCCCGTCCCGTGGGTGGTGGAGGACCCCATGGACCCCATGCCCGTCCCGTGGGTGGTGGAGGACCCCATGGACCCCATGCCCGTCCCGTGGGTGGTGGAGGACCCCATGGACCCCATGCCCGTCCCGTGGGTGGTGGTGGACCCCATGGACCCCATTCCCGTCCCGTGGGTGGTGGACCCCAGGGACCCCATGCCCGTCCCGTGGGTGGTGGAGGACCCCATGGACCCCATGCCCGTCCCGTGGGTGGTGGTGGACCCCATGGACCCCATGCCCGTCCCGTGGGTGGTGGAGGACCCCATGGACCCCATGCCCGTCCCGTGGGTGGTGGTGGACCCCATGGACCCCATGCCCGTCCCGTGGGTGGTGGAGGACCCCATGGACCCCATGCCCGTCCCGTGGGTGGTGGTGGACCCCATGGACCCCATGCCCGTCCCGTGGGTGGTGGTGGACCCCATGGACCCCATGCCCGTCCCGTGGGTGGTGGTGGACCCCATGGACCCCATGCCCGTCCCGTGGGTGGTGGAGGACCCCATGGACCCCATGCCCGTCCCGTGGGTGGTGGACCCCATGGACCCCATGGACCCCATGCCCGTCCCGTGGGTGGTGGTGGACCCCATGGACCCCATGCCCGTCCCGTGGGTGGTGGTGGACCCCATGGACCCCATGCCCGTCCCGTGGGTGGTGGAGGACCCCATGGACCCCATGCCCGTCCCGTGGGTGGTGGAGGACCCCATGGACCCCATGCCCGTCCCGTGGGTGGTGGAGGACCCCATACCCGTCCCGTGGGTGGTGGAGGACCCCATGGACCCCATGCCCGTCCCGTGGGTGGTGACCCCATGGACCCCATGCCCGTGGGTGGTGGAGGACCCCATGGACCCCATGCCCGTCCCGTGGGTGGTGGAGGACCCCATGGACCCCATGCCCGTCCCGTGGGTGGTGGAGGACCCCATGGACCCCATGCCCGTCCCGTGGGTGGTGGAGGACCCCATGGACCCCATGCCCGTCCCGTGGGTGGTGGAGGACCCCATGGACCCCATGCCCGTCCCGTGGGTGGTGGAGGACCCCATGGACCCCATGCCCGTCCCGTGGGTGGTGGAGGACCCCATGGACCCCATGCCCGTCCCGTGGGTGGTGGAGGACCCCATGGACCCCATGCCCGTCCCGTGGGGGTGGTGGACCCCATGGATGCCCGTCCCCCCATGGACCCCATGCCCGTCCCGTGGGTGGTGGAGGACCCCATGGACCCCATGCCCGTCCCGTGGGTGGTGGAGGACCCCATGGACCCCATGCCCGTCCCGTGGGTGGTGGAGGACCCCATGGACCCCATGCCCGTCCCGTGGGGGTGGACCCCATGGACCCCAGGACCCCATGGACCCCATGCCCGTCCCGTGGGTGGTGGAGGACCCCATGGACCCCATGCCCGTCCCGTGGGTGGTGGAGGACCCCATGGACCCCATGCCCGTCCCGTGGGGGTGGTGGAGGATGCCCGTCCCGTGGGTGGTGGAGGACCCCATGGACCCCATGCCCGTCCCGTGGGTGGTGGAGGACCCCATGGACCCCATGCCCGTCCCGTGGGTGGTGGAGGACCCCATGGACCCCATGCCCGTCCCGTGGGTGGTGGAGGACCCCATGGACCCCATGCCCGTCCCGTGGGTGGTGGAGGACCCCATGGACCCCATGCCCGTGCCCGTGGGTGGTGGAGGACCCCATGGACCCCATGGACCCCATGTCCCGTGGGTGGTGGAGGACCCCATGGACCCCATGCCCGTCCCGTGGGTGGTGGAGGACCCCATGGACCCCATGCCCGTCCCGTGGGTGGTGGAGGACCCCATGGACCCCATGCCCGTCCCGTGGGTGGTGGAGGACCCCATGGACCCCATGCCCGTCCCGTGGGTGGTGGAGGACCCCATGGACCCCATGCCCGTCCCGTGGGTGGTGGAGGACCCCATGGACCCCATGCCCGTCCCGTGGGTGGTGGAGGACCCCATGGACCCCATGCCCGTCCCGTGGGTGGTGGAGGACCCCATGGACCCCATGCCCGTCCCGTGGGTGGTGGAGGACCCCATGGACCCCATGCCCGTCCCGTGGGTGGTGGAGGACCCCATACCCGTCCCGTGGGTGGTGGAGGACCCCATGGACCCCATGCCCGTCCCGTGGGTGGTGGAGGACCCCATGGACCCCATGCCCGTCCCGTGGGTGGTGGAGGACCCCATGGACCCCATGCCCGTCCCGTGGGTGGTGGAGGACCCCATCCTTCACTTAGCTAAGTGTCATTTGTGAAACTAGTTACACAATATTTAATACACACACACACACACACACACACACACACACACACACACACACACACACACACACACACACACACACACACACACACACAGCATTAGGAAGCGATGTGGTGGAGGCTGACTCCATACACAGTTTCAAATGTAGATATGATAGAGCCCAGTAGGCTCAGGAACCTGTACACCTGTTGATTGACGGTTGAGAGGCGGGACCAAAGAGCCAGAGCTCAACCCCCGCAAGCACTAATAGGTAAGTACAGCCTTGAGGGCCTCGCGGCTGACTGGACAGCGCTCGGGAGTCGTAGTCATAAGGGTCCGGGTTCGATTCCCCGCCGAGGCGGAAACAATTGGGCAAAGTTTCTTTCACCCTGATGCACCTGTTCACCTAGCAAAAAAAATAGTTACCTGGGAGTTATAGACAGCTGCTACGGGCTGTTTCATGGAGATGTGTGTGTGTGTCTGTGTGTGTGTGTGTGTGTGTGTGTGTGTGTGTGTGTGTGTGTGTGTGTGTGTGTGTGTGTGTGTGGAGGGGTTAGTGTGTGTGTGTGTGTGGAGGGGTTAGTGTGTGTGTGTGTATGGAGGGAGGTAGTGTGTGTGGAGGAGGGGGGGGGGGGGGGGTAGTATATGTGTGTTGACTCACCTGACGGAGGGAAGGTACCCGCTGCGGGTGAGCGTGTTGAGGACCTGGGTGACCGAGGTGTGAGGGGTGACGGAGGAGTCGAGCAAGGGGTACGTGGCATGGGTTGTGTGGACCGGTGCCCCTGGGAACACACTCCTCAGGGCCCAGGCCGGCCCCTGCACCCTCACCTCCCTGGAGCGCTGCGCCGTGTCCCTCACCACCACCAGCGTCGTCCCCTGCCGCAGGAGAAAACATTGTCAGTAGTTTATATATATATATATATATATATATATATATATATATATATATATATATATATATTTATATATATATATTATATATATTTTTTTTTCTTGCTTTGTAACTTATCATTTTTGTTTATAAATTTCGCAAGTATTTACCTACTTAAAATTTTCTTAGACTCATGAGAAAAATGGAATTGTTACACTATGTAGCATTATTTTAGGCATTACCAGGAATCATTTAGCATTTTTTGTATGTGAAAAAATGTGATTAATATGAATAATGGACTTTTAAAATCATTAATTTTTTTGAATTTAATTTTAATTTTGAAGATAAAATGTTGGCAACACTGTAAATATACTGAGTCATTCCTGTGTCTTCATTAGTGTTAGAGGGCGGCCAGGAGTCTTACCTTGTTAGAGGGCGGCCAGGAGTCTCACCTTGTTAGAGGGCGGCCAGGAGTCTCACCTTGTTAGAGGGCGGCCAGGAGTCTCACCGTGTTAGAGGGCGGCCAGGAGTCTCACCTTGTTAGAGGGCGGCCAGGAGTCTTACCTTGTTAGAGGGCGGCCAGGAGTCTCACCTTGTTAGAGGGCGGCCAGGAGTCTTACCGTGTTAGAGGGCGGCCAGGAGTCTTACCTTGTTAGAAGGCGGCCAGGAGTCGTACCGTGTTAGAGGGCGGCCAGGAGTCTTACCTTGTTAGAGGGCGGCCAGGAGTCTTACCTTGTTAGAGGGCGGCCAGGAGTCTCACCTTGTTAGAGGGCGGCCAGGAGTCTTACCTTGTTAGAGGGCGGCCAGGAGTCTCACCTTGTTAGAGGGCGGCCAGGAGTCTCACCTTGTTAGAGGGCGGCCAGGAGTCTCACCTTGTTAGAGGGCGGCCAGGAGTCTTACCTTGTTAGAGGGCGGCCAGGAGTCTCACCTTGTTAGAGGGCGGCCAGGAGTCTTACCTTGTTAGAGGGCGGCCAGGAGTCTCACCTTGTTAGAGGGCGGCCAGGAGTCTCACCTTGTTAGAGGGCGGCCAGGAGTCTTACCTTGTTAGAGGGCGGCCAGGAGTCTTACCTTGTTAGAGGGCGGCCAGGAGTCTTACCTTGTTAGAGGGCGGCCAGGAGTCTTACCTTGTTAGAGGGCGGCCAGGAGTCTCACCTTGTTAGAGGGCGGCCAGGAGTCTTACCTTGTTAGAGGGCGGCCAGGAGTCTTACCTTGTTAGAGGGCGGCCAGGAGTCTCACCTTGTTAGAGGGCGGCCAGGAGTCTTACCTTGTTAGAGTGCGGCCAGGAGTCTCACCTTGTTAGAGGGCGGCCAGGAGTCTTACCTTGTTAGAGGGCGGCCAGGAGTCTTACCTTGTTAGAGGGCGGCCAGGAGTCTCACCTTGTTAGAGGGCGGCCAGGAGTCTTACCTTGTTAGAGGGCGGCCAGGAGTCTCACCTTGTTAGAGGGCGGCCAGGAGTCTCACCTTGTTAGAGGGCGGCCAGGAGTCTTACCTTGTTAGAGGGCGGCCAGGAGTCTCACCTTGTTAGAGGGCGGCCAGGAGTCTCACCTTGTTAGAGGGCGGCCAGGAGTTAGAGGGCGGCCAGGAGTCTTACCTTGTTAGAGGGCGGCCAGGAGTCTCACCTTGTTAGAGGGCGGCCAGGAGTCTTACCTTGTTAGAGGGCGGCCAGGAGTCTCACCTTGTTAGAGGGCGGCCAGGAGTCTCACCTTGTTAGAGGGCGGCCAGGAGTCTCACCTTGTTAGAGGGCTGCCAGGAGTCTCACCTTGTTAGAGGGCGGCCAGGAGTCTCACCTTGTTAGAGGGCGGCCAGGAGTCTTACCGTGTTAGAGGGCGGCCAGGAGTCTCACCTTGTTAGAGGGCGGCCAGGAGTCTCACCTTGTTAGAGGGCGGCCAGGAGTCTCACCTTGTTAGAGGGCGGCCAGGAGTCTCACCTTGTTAGAGGGCGGCCAGGAGTCTCACCTTGTTAGAGGGCGGCCAGGAGTCTCACCTTGTTAGAGGGCGGCCAGGAGTCTCACCTTGTTAGAGGGCGGCCAGGAGTCTTACCGTGTTAGAGGGCGGCCAGGAGTCTCACCTTGTTAGAGGGCAGCCAGGAGTCTCACCTTGTTAGAGGGCGGCCAGGAGTCTTACCTTGTTAGAGGGATGCCAGGAGTCTCACCTTGTTAGAGGGCGGCCAGGAGTCTTACCTTGTTAGAGGGCGGCCAGGAGTCTCACCTTGTTAGAGGGCGGCCAGGGGTCTTACCTTGTTAGAGGGCGGCCAGGAGTCTCACCTTGTTAGAGGGCGGCCAGGAGTCTTACCTTGTTAGAGGGCGGCCAGGAGTCTCACCTTGTTAGAGGGCGGCCAGGAGTCTTACCTTGTTAGAGGGCGGCCAGGAGTCTTACCTTGTTAGAGGGCGGCCAGGAGTCTCACCGTGTTAGAGGGCGGCCAGGAGTCTCACCTTGTTAGAGGGCGGCCAGGAGTCTCACCGTGTTAGAGGGCGGCCAGGAGTCTTACCTTGTTAGAGGGCGGCCAGGAGTCTCACCTTGTTAGAGGGCGGCCAGGAGTCTTACCTTGTTAGAGGGCGGCCAGGAGTCTCACCGTGTTAGAGGGCGGCCAGGAGTCTCACCTTGTTAGAGGGCGGCCAGGAGTCTCACCGTGTTAGAGGGCGGCCAGGAGTCTTACCTTGTTAGAGGGCGGCCAGGAGTCTCACCGTGTTAGAGGGCGGCCAGGAGTCTCACCTTGTTAGAGGGCGGCCAGGAGTCTCACCTTGTTAGAGGGCGGCCAGGAGTCGTACCGTGTTAGAGGGCGGCCAGGAGTCTCACCTTGTTAGAGGGCGGCCAGGAGTCTCACCTTGTTAGAGGGCGGCCAGGAGTCTTACCGTGTTAGAGGGCGGCCAGGAGTCTCACCTTGTTAGAGGGCGGCCAGGAGTCTCACCTTGTTAGAGGGCGGCCAGGAGTCTCACCTTGTTAGAGGGCGGCCAGGAGTCTCACCTTGTTAGAGGGCGGCCAGGAGTCTTACCTTGTTAGAGGGATGCCAGGAGTCTCACCTTGTTAGAGGGCGGCCAGGAGTCTCACCTTGTTAGAGGGCGGCCAGGAGTCTCACCTTGTTAGAGGGCGGCCAGGAGTCTTACCTTGTTAGAGGGATGCCAGGAGTCTCACCTTGTTAGAGGGCGGCCAGGAGTCTTACCTTGTTAGAGGGATGCCAGGAGTCTCACCTTGTTAGAGGGCGGCCAGGAGTCTTACCTTGTTAGAGGGATGCCAGGAGTCTCACCTTGTTAGAGGGCGGCCAGGAGTCTCACCTTGTTAGAGGGCGGCCAGGAGTCTCACCTTGTTAGAGGGCGGCCAGGAGTCTTACCTTGTTAGAGGGATGCCAGGAGTCTCACCTTGTTAGAGGGCGGCCAGGAGTCTCACCTTGTTAGAGGGATGCCAGGAGTCTCACCTTGTTAGAGGGCGGCCAGGAGTCTCACCTTGTTAGAGGGCGGCCAGGAGTCTCACCTTGTTAGAGGGCGGCCAGGAGTCTCACCTTGTTAGAGGGCGGCCAGGAGTCTCACCTTGTTAGAGGGCGGCCAGGAGTCTCACCTTGTTAGAGGGCGGCCAGGAGTCTTACCTTGTTAGAGGGCGGGTGGTAGACAGTGGAGGTGGGTGTGTGGTGAGGGAGGAGGAGACGAGTGAGGAGGCTGGTGAGGGAGAGTCGTGGTGGAGGCCGGGTGTTGACTTGGAGGGTGTGGCCATCTCCAGCCACAGTGTGCCGGCGACCCCCGCCGCTCTGTAGGAGTCCACATACACCTTAACAACTCCTCTACTACAAGCCCAGGAGGCAAGCACATCAGGCTATAAAGGGAATTAATATAAGACACCTTCATAATGTTTTAAAAGTAGACATGACAAAAACTAACATGTAGGTAGTCCATAAGATAAGACAACCAACAGTTGGAAAGGCGGGACGCAGGAGCTGAAGCTGGGTCGTGCAACCTTCGTAAGAGGAAGCAGAAACGATGTCAAAGTTTCTTAAGTGAGTTGTAAGTGTGCGAGACATGAGCGAACACAACACGAAACCCAGCACTATATAAGTTTATGTATGTTCTTGAGACGCGTTCATACATTCATTCTCAAGTTCTCAGTAACTGTGTTCACACTACTGCGATCCGTTGTGTGCGTACCTAGACAGAGCGACCATGTCCCCCCAGGAAATGGCTCTCCTCAACATTCTTCTGAAATTATTACATTCAGAAGGTCACAGTAATCTTGTGGCAAGAGCAAGGAAAATGGTCGGAGATGACAGGAATAATGATACTCTCTACTTTGAGGTTAGTTTGAGTTGATTTCGGGACTTAGCGACCCCTGTGGCCCGGTCATCGACCAGCCCTCCTCGTTGCTGGACTGGTCAACCAGGCTGTTGGACGCGGCTGCTTGCAGCCTGACGTATGAGTTACAGCCTGGTTGATCAGGTATCCTTTGGAGGTGTTTGTCAAGTTCTCTCTTGAACACTGTGAGGGGTCGGCCAGTTATGTCCCTTATGTGTAGTGGAAGCGTGTTGAACAGTCTCGGGCCTCTGATGTTGATAGTTCTCTCTTGAACACTGTGAGGGGTCGGCCAGTTATGTCCCTTATGTGTAGTGGAAGCGTGTTGAACAGTCTCGGGCCTCTGATGTTGATAGTTCTCTCTTGAACACTGTGAGGGGTCGGCCAGTTATGTCCCTTATGTGTAGTGGAAGCGTGTTGAACAGTCTCGGGCCTCTGATGTTGATAGTTCTCTCTTGAACACTGTGAGGGGTCGGCCAGTTATGCCCCTTATGTGTAGTGGAAGCGTGTTGAACAGTCTCGGGCCTCTGATGTTGATAGTTCTCTCTTGAACACTGTGAGGGGTCGGCCAGTTATGTCCCTTATGTGTAGTGGAAGCGTGTTGAACAGTCTCGGGCCTCTGATGTTGATAGAGTTCTCTCTCAGAGTACCTGTTGCACCTCTGCTCTTCAACGGGGGCATTCTGCACATCCTGCCATGCCTTCTGGTCTCATGTGATGTTATTTCTGTGTGCAGGTTTGGGATCAACCCCTCTACTATTTTCTACGTGTAAATTATTATGTATCTCTCCCACCTGCGCTCAAGAGAATACAGATTTAGGCTCTTTAGTCGGTCGAAATAGTTTAGATGTTTTACTGAGTGGATTCTAGCAGTAAAGGATCTCTGCACGCTCTCCAGGTCAGCAATTTCTCCAGCTTTGAAAGGTGCTGTCATTGTGCAGCAGTACTCCACTCTAGAGAGCACAAGCGTCTTGAAAAGTATCATCATCGGTATAGCATCTCTTAGTGTGAAAAGTTCTTGTTATCCAACCTGACATTTTTCTTGCAGTTGTGACGGCAACTTTATTGTGTTCTTTAAAGGTAAGGTCTTCCGACATGAGTACACCCAGATCCTTTACATTGCCTTTTCGTTCTGTTATGATTTGACTGAGTTTTGTACGTGGTTTCCGTTTTTATATTTTCATTTTTTTCCGTAGCGCATGAGCTGGAACTTAACTTCGTTAAACACCATATTATTTTCTGTAGCCCATAGAAAGACTTGATTTATGTCTGATTGGAGGTTTGCCGTGTCCTCTATGTTGTCTACTCTCATAAAGATCCTAGTGTCATCTGCAAAGGATGATACAGTGCTATGGATTGTGTCGTTGTCTATGTCCGATATGAGGATGAGAAAAAGTACTGCATCAGCAGGGAAGCGGAACACATCAGTGAAAATAAACAGCAATAAACAAAAGCATTGGCCGTTAAAATGAGAACTCAAGACATCAGACTGGCAATACAAGGACAAGAAATTGAGTGGGTTACCTCCTTTCAATACCTAGGAGTCATAATAGACAGCCAGTTGAAATTCACTCAAGAAATTGAATATCTTCAGCAACGCTGTAAAGCCAGAAACTCAGCTTTGCGCTCCCTGACCAGTCTTAGAGATGGTGCATCTCTACCAGTACTCAAAATGTACTACGTTCAAGCAGTTAGGTCACTCATTGACTATGCTGCTCCTGCTCTTACATCCCTCAGTGATAACCAGTGGCAGAAACTGGAAGTGTCTCAAAATGATGCCCTCAGAACAATGCTGGGAGCTCCTATATGGACGCGTCGACAGAATCTATCAATGGAAACCAACTTACCAGCCTCAGGAAACAGGACCAAACAAAGACTAGCCACCATAACAGCAGAACTTGTTGGAACCACCACCAGACTGTCAGTCAAAGATAGCATACACAGTTCACTTCACAGAAACCTTCAATATAGAACAAGTGCATGGACGGATAATCTAGTGAATATTCTAGAGAAAGTGGACTTGAAATGGACCATTAAAAACAAAGGAGAAGATAGACCATATCAACACTTTCGGCAGCCATGTTATACTACCAACCATGAAGCTTACTGGAGCATGAATAGTGGCTGCTCAACATTACAAACATAATTATATGCCCTGAAAGAGGCCATATATTATACAGTTCAGAATAATTTACATGCTGTTATTCATGCCGACTCTAAATCTTCGCTCCAGGTATTATTATCCAGCCAGCACAGAGGTAATATACAACTCATCACAGAATCCTACATATAGGAAAAGAAGCCCACAATCTAGGTCTGTCAATCACCCTAAATTGGATACCAAGTCACATTGGCATAGATGGTAATGAAAAGGCAGACTCACTAGCAAAAACTGCCGCTGCTCTACCTGTTGTACAGGTTCAAATACCTCCAAGTTTTTCACAGATGAAGGAGCAAATCAAGAAGAAAATATTCTCAACTATCAAAAGTCGCCACAGAGCCAAAGTAGCGGAAGGAAGATCCACTGCGATATGGTACGAACAAGCCACTGGTTACTCTTTCAAGCCTGACAAAAAGATATCCAGAGACATTGCAGTAGCCATACACAGACTCAGACTTGGTTACAAGTGCTGCTGGGAGGTAATGAACCCAATAGTTAAAGAGTGTCACATCTGTGGAACAGAAGCAGAGGCGCCACTATTGCATCACTTACTGGAATGTGAAGCTACTGAAGCCCTGCGCATCAAACTCAACATTAATCCAACGACAGAAGCTGCATTAGATGCAAATTCCACAGCGACTACAATGGTTAACAAAGCAGTTGAAGAATGGGACACACTAGTGAACATTCTGCATCTACATCCGCCACCAAGATAATGTTATTAAAACTACAACCAGTGCGCTAAAACAGAAGCGAAAAAGAACAGGGGAAGAGGAGGAAACCCCACCTCCATTTAAAACTTTGACCCAAATATCACAGCAACAAGGTTATCGCGAATAACCGAACTCAATTACGGGCTCACCATAGTCCGTGCTACATGAACATTTCCTTCTGAGTAGCTAAATCTAAAACAGCAACAACAACATCTTGAGATGGGTAAAACAATATTGGGAGCGAGAAGTTAGTGGCGGAGTTGATGAAGGCTAATGATACAAGACTTGCACTCTCCGGTGTGTTGTGGCTCCACACCTCATGACATAATGACGTGTAGTGCAGACGGAGGCACTCACCGAGGCACGCTGGAGGGTCTTGGGCAGGCAGCCTTTGAGTGCGTGAGGGCGGGCGTGCAGGAGGTCGTCCACCAGGTCCAGTTGGGTGAGTTCGTGGAGCAGACGCGTGACCATCACCTGGCCCTCGTGTGCCGGGTACAGCATGTCTCCTGTAGTGTACACGCTCTATTACACACCGCCTCCCTCTAACACCTCTCACGGCCCAGTCATCATGCCCCTGCCACCTCTTGACTCCCTTAATCGTCATCCATCATCTAACACGTCCTACACACACACACACACACACACACACACACACACACACACACACACACACACACACACACACACACACACACACACACACACACACAAACACACACACACACACACACACACACACACAAACATATAACATTTTGACTATCTCGAATTGTTTGAAAGTGGTATGTGTAGAGGTCAAGTGCTGTGCTCAGACCATTCATGCCACACAAGTCCTGGAGTGACTTACTTCAGTTGTCATTTATTATTCCCCCCATACCCATCCCGTGGGTGATGGTGGACCCCATACCCATCCCGTGGGTGATGGTGGACCCCATACCCATCCCGTGGGTGATGGTGGACCCCATACCCATCCCGTGGGTGATGGTGGACCCCATACCCATCCCGTGGGTGATGGTGGACCCCATACCCATCCCGTGGGTGATGGTGGACCCCATATCCATCCCGGGGGTGGTGGTGGACCCCATACCCATCCCGTGGGTGGTGGTGGACCCCATACCCATCCCGTGGGAGGTGGTGGACCCCATATCCATCCCGTGGGTGGTGGTGGACCCCATACCCATCCCGGGGGTGGTGGTGGACCCCATACCCATCCCGGGGGTGGTGATGGACCCCATACCCATCCCGTGGGTGGTGGTGGACCCCATACCCATCCCGTGGGTGGTGGTGGACCCCATCCTTCACTTAGCTAAGTAACAATTTTCTGAAATTAGTTACAGTTTTTAATACATAAGTGCATGAATACATAAATACATACACACATACATATATCACACATTAATGGTACTATCCTATGGCCAGGTAGTGGGCCAGGTAGTGGGCCAGGTAGGGGAAGACTCACCTGTGGCCAGGTAGTGGGCCAGGTAGTGGGCCAGGTAGTGGGCCAGGTAGTGGGCCAGGTAGTGGGCCAGGTAGTGGGCCAGGTAGTGGGTCAGGTAGTGGGCCAGGTAGTGGGCCAGGTAGTGGGCCAGGTAGTGGGCCAGGTAGTGGGCCAGGTAGTGGGCCAGGTAGGGGAAGACTCACCTATGGCCAGGTAGTGGGCCAGGTAGGGGAAGACTCACCTGTGGCCAGGTAGTGGGCCAGGTAGAGGGAGACTCACCTGTGGCCAGGTAGTGGGCCAGGTAGAGGGAGACTCACCTGTGGCCAGGTAGTGGGCCAGGTAGAGGAAGACTCACCTGTGGCCAGGTAGTGGGCCAGGTAGAGGAAGACTCACCTGTGGCCAGGTAGTGGGCCAGGTAGGGGAAGACTCACCTGTGGCCAGGTAGTGGGCCAGGTAGAGGAAGACTCGCCTGTGGCCAGGTAGTGGGTCAGGTAGGGGAAGACTCACCTGTGGCCAGGTAGTGGGTCAGGTAGTGGGCCAGGTAGTGGGTCAGGTAGTGGGCCAGGTAGTGGGCCAGGTAGGGGAAGACTCACCTGTGGCCAGGTAGTGGGCCAGGTAAGGGAAGACTCACCTGTGGCCAGGTAGTGGGCCAGGTAGGGGAAGACTCACCTGTGGCCAGGTAGTGGGTCAGGTAGTGGGCCAGGTAGTGGGCCAGGTAGGGGAAGACTCACCTGTGGCCAGGTAGTGGGCCAGGTAGGGGAAGACTCACCTGTGGCCAGGTAGTGGGTCAGGTAGTGGGCCAGGTAGTGGGCCAGGTAGGGGAAGACTCACCTGTGGCCAGGTAGTGGGCCAGGTAAGGGAAGACTCACCTGTGGCCAGGTAGTGGGCCAGGTAGGGGAAGACTCACCTGTGGCCAGGTAGTGGGCCAGGTAGTGGGCCAGGTAGTGGGCCAGGTAGGGGAAGACTCACCTGTGGCCAGGTAGTGGGCCAGGTAGTGGGCCAGGTAGTGGGCCAGGTAGGGGAAGACTCACCTGTGGCCAGGTAGTGGGCCAGGTAAGGGAAGACTCACCTGTGGCCAGGTAGTGGGCCAGGTAGTGGGCCAGGTAGGGGAAGACTCACCTGTGGCCAGGTAGTGGGCCAGGTAGGGGAAGACTCACCTGTGGCCAGGTAGTGGGCCAGGTAGTGGGCCAGGTAGTGGGCCAGGTAGGGGAAGACTCACCTGTGGCCAGGTAGTGGGCCAGGTAGGGGAAGACTCACCTGTGGCCAGGTAGTGGGCCAGGTAGTAGGCCAGGTAGTGGGCCAGGTAGGGGAAGACTCACCTGTGGCCAGGTAGTGGGCCAGGTAGGGGAAGACTCACCTGTGGCCAGGTAGTGGGCCAGGTAGTAGGCCAGGTAGTGGGCCAGGTAGGGGAAGACTCACCTGTGGCCAGGTAGTGGGCCAGGTAGGGGAAGACTCACCTGTGGCCAGGTAGTGGGCCAGGTAGTAGGCCAGGTAGTGGGCCAGGTAGGGGAAGACTCACCTGTGGCCAGGTAGTGGGCCAGGTAGGGGAAGACTCACCTGTGGCCAGGTAGTGGGCCAGGTAGGGGAAGACTCGACCGTCTCTACCGCCGCCATTGTCCACAACTGTAAATAAACATATTGTAGTCATCTTGGTGCACACTGTTATTGTCAATATGTTGTTAGTGAAGACTGTGGGGGCCGGGAGGCAGAGGGTGAGGGAGGCTCTCCTCCGGTGTCCCAACACAGCTCTCACATGTAGGGCATATGTAAATATGTGTATTTATGTATTTACGTATGTAGCTTAGCCTAGCATTTTAAAAGCACTACAATCACCTTCTGTGGTTGATTGTTCAATAAATATCCTGAACTATATGTTTAACACATCTCTCACCCTGTCCATGGAGGACAGAAGAAAATGTATATATGGTGGTTAGCATTGTTAATGTCTGGCCACGTCTGTGGTAGACAATAGTAATAATAATAAACAGCTCTCACAGGCGCCCTAAGCCGGACACTTTCCCCGGGAGAGAGTAGCTGATAAGGAGTAACTGAAGAAGATAATAAGGAACAACTGGAGCACAACCTGTACTAAACTGAATCATTGGAAAGTGGGAGGTGTATGTGTGGTAATTATGAGGAGAAAGCACTAGGTCAGAACCACTGTGTAGCTCTTGGGAGGGATATGAGGACTAGGAGCTGGGATAGGACGGAGGGAAGGGACGGTGTCTAAACACTTGGAACATCGGGGATCGAACGCCTTCTCTGTATCCTTCGAAATCTTCGCTGTACCGAACAATGAACTTGTTCAGAGGTTCCGGAGCATGTTTGGCTCTGTCGTACCTATGATTGAAAGTAAGTGTGTGTGTGTGGAGCCTCGAGTGTGTGGGGTGAGTGTGGAGTCCTTGAGTGTGTGTGTGTGGTTGGGTGTGGAGACCCAAGAGTGTGCAGAACTGTGGGAGTGTGTTTAGGCAAGTTTGGAGCCTATATTTCCTTATTACGTGATATCCTCCTGGGAAAATTACATTTTCTATAATACCTGACAGTTTCGTTTTCAGCATTGCTATAATGTGTGGTTGTTCTTGTGGCACTCTTTCCTCTCACCGCCCCGTACCCCGACTCTGCCAGTCCCCGCCCCCTCCCAGCGTCACTACCAGCAGGCTGTATGGCCTCCGTCAGGGCCAGTGTTGTAAATACTGGTGTTGCTCCCAGGGCCAGTGTTGTAAACACTGGTGTTGCTCCCAGGGCCAGTGTTGTAAACACTGGAGCTGCTCCCAGGGCCAGTGTTGTAAACACTGGAGCTGCTCCCAGGGCCAGTGTTGTAAACACTGGAGCTGCTCCCAGGGCCAGTGTTGTAAACACTGGAGCTGCTCCCAGGGCCAGTGTTGTAAACACTGGAGCTGCTCCCAGGGCCAGTGTTGTAAACACTGGAGCTGCTCCCAGGGCCAGTGTTGTAAACACTGGAGCTGCTCCCAGGGCCAGTGTTGTAAACACTGGTGTTGCTCCCAGGGCCAGTGTTGTAAACACTGGTGTTGCTCCCAGGGCCAGTGTTGTAAACACTGGTGTTGCTCCCAGGGCCAGTGTTGTAAACACTGGAGCAGCTCCCAGGGCCAGTGTTGTAAACACTGGTGTTACTCCCAGGGCCAGTGTTGTAAACACTGGAGCTGCTCCCAGGGCCAGTGTTGACAACACTGGCCCTGGGAGTAACACTGGTGGTCAGGGACCAGGACCACAAGATGCTGCAACAATACTTTACTTGTCTCCTCATGAAGCTGGTGAGGCAACATGGCGGTGATGGGCAGGCGGAGTGCGGCTACACGGCGCCCGTGTCCTCCTCCACCTGCACCAGGGCACGTAGGCCTGTACCAGGGCATGGAGGCCTGTACCAGCGGCATGGAGGCCTGTACCAGCGGCACGGAGGCCTGTACCAGCGGCACGGAGGCCTGTACCAGCGGCATGGAGGCCTGTACCAGCGGCACGGAGGCCTGTACCAGCGGCACGGAGGCCTGTACCAGCGGCACAGAGGCCTGTACCAGGACACTACAGCACCTGGAGGTGTGTGGTGTGTGGTGTGAGTGAATGAGGCGAGGCAACTGGAGGGTCCAGCCGTGTGAGACACAGTTATATCACCATAACGGTGCACATAATCTTGGTCACTGTCAACACCTCATCACCCACAACACATCCTCCTCATAACATACTTGACCTAACACTGACGACCATCTACGTCAACGTGACAGACAAACACAAAGTAGAATTTGGTTCTGTTCATTTTATAGTCCGGAAAAAATAAAGCTAAAACCATACTTAAATAATCTTAGGCCTAATATAGCATATATATGTACTATATTAGGCCTCAGTGTGTATTAGGCCTAAGGTGGATAGGCTTTACGAGCAAGAAAATATAAAACTTTTCTGCTTTGTTCAAATTCAGTAATACAAGAGTGTATCGTTAACTGGTCCATCACGTCTATATTTGTACCATCGACCACAGCGTTACTATAAGTACTTAAGATATACTTACTAAATACACTACTTACTCAAGTATTTTAGTAAGTGTTTAGTAGGATGGGCTGATATCTGACGACCAATCAACCTATACTAGGCTCGTCCAATCGGCGGTCGTCATCATTTTAATTCGTCCATTTTAACGCATTCGTTCCATTTTAACACGCATTCGTCCATTTTAACGTACTGCGTGTTCTAAATTTGTACGCCATAGACGCAGTTAGAACACAGAGTCGTCTGATCCTATCATGAAATCATTGCAAGAGTTCTATAACCACAAGCACTGAACTACAGACCAGTGTCCCTAACCTGCATACCATGCAAGCTGATGGAGAAGATTGTGCGAAGAAAGCTAGTGGAACATCTGGAGCGAAAGAACTTTGTAACACAGCATCAACATGGGTTCAGGGATGGCAAGTCTTGCATCACAGGGTTAATTGAATTTCACGACCAGGCAACAAAAATCAGGTAAGAAAGAGAGGGATGGCCAGACTGCATATTTTTGAAGTGCCAGAAAGCCTTTGATACAGTACCACGCCAGAGACCAGTGCAAAAGTTGGAGATGCAGGCTGGAGTGAAGGGGAAGGTACTCCACTGGATAAGAGAGTACCTGAGCAAAAGGAGACAGCGAGTCACTGTGAGGGGTGAGGTCTCAGACCGGCGAGACGTCACAAGTGGAGTCCCACAGGGTTCAGTCCTTGGACCATACTGTTTCTGATATATGTAAATGATCTCCCAGAGGGTATAGAATCATTCATCTCATTGTTTGCTGATGATGCAATAATTATGAGGAGGATTAAGATGGAGGAAGACAATATGAGGCTACAAGATGACCTAGACAAACTGAATGAATGGTCCAACAAATGGCTGCTAAAGTTCGACCTGAGTAAATGTAAGGTGATGAAACTAGGCAGTGGAAACAGGAGGCCAGACACTGGATACCGACTGGGAGATGAAGTCCTTCATGAAACGGACAGAGAGAAAGATCTAGGAGTTGATATCACACCAAACCTGTCTCCTGAAGCCCACATAAAAAGAATAACATCTGTGGCGTATGCAAGGCTGGCTAACATCAGAACTGCCTTCAGGACCCTGTGTAACGAATCATTCAGAACCTTGTATTCCACATATGTAAGACCAATCCTGGAGTATGCGGCCCCAGCTTGGAGCCCCGTACCTTGTCATGTACAAGACAAAGCTGGAAAAAGTTCAGAGGTATGCCACTAGGCTAGTCCCAGAACTAAGAGGGATGAGTTACGAGGAAAGGCTGCAGGAAATGCACCTCACATCGCTGAAAGACAGAAGAGTAAGGGGGAGACATGATTACTACCTACAAAATTCTCAGAGGAATTGACAAGGTAGATAAAGATAAACTGTTTAACATTGGCGGCACGCGAACAAGGGGACACAGGTGGAAACTGAGTACCCAAATGAGCCACAGGGACATTAGAAAGAACTTTCTCAGTGTCAGAGTAGTTAACAGATGGAATGCATTAGGCAGTGATGTGGTGGAGGCTGAGTCCATACACAGTTCCAAATGTAGATATGATAGAGCCCCGTAGGCTCAGGAACCTGTACACCAGTTGATTGACAGTTGAGAGGCGGGACCAAAGAGCCAGAGCTCAACCCCCGCAAGCACACCTAGGTGAGTACAAGCCTAGCAGGAGCGGCACAAATTATTGTAGCAGCGTGCGTGTACTACACGCTGCTACAGTGTCCAGACACCCGCCAGCAATTATGCAAAGTCTTCCAGACACCAAATACTACTTCCGTGTGACTCAACACGCAGCCAACACGCCTCTAACCCAACATGAATAGTCACCAAGTTATATCACAAAGTTTGGGTGAGCCTGGGAGAGTTTGGGTGAGCCTGGGAGAGTTTGGGTGAGTGTGGGAGAGTTTGGGTGAGTGTGGGAGAGTTTGGGTGAGCGTGGGAGAGTTTGGGTGAGTGTGGGAGAGTTTGGGTGAGTGTGGGAGAGTTTGGGTGAGCGTGGGAGAGTTTGGGTGAGTGTGGGAGAGTTTGGGTGAGCGTGGGAGAGTTTGGGTGAGCGTGGGAGAGTTTGGGTGAGCGTGAGAGAGTTTGGGTGAGCGTGGGAGAGTTTGGGTGAGCGTGGGAGAGTTTGGGTGAGCGTGGGAGAGTTTGGGTGAGCGTGGGAGAGTTTGGGTGAGCGTGGGAGAGTTTGGGTGAGCGTGGGAGAGTTTGGGTGAGCGTGGGAGAGTTTGGGTGAGCGTGGGAGAGTTTGGGTGAGCGTGGGAGAGTTTGGGTGAGCGTGGGAGAGTTTGGGTGAGTGTGGGAGAGTTTGGGTGAGCGTGGGAGAGTTTGGGTGAGCGTGGGAGAGTTTGGGTGAGCGTGGGAGAGTTTGGGTGAGCGTGGGAGAGTTTGGGTGAGTGTGGGAGAGTTTGGGTGAGTGTGGGAGAGTTTGGGTGAGCGTGGGAGAGTTTGGGTGAGCGTGGGAGAGTTTGGGTGAGCGTGGAATTAAGCCATTAGAGATAAACCGCTGGTTTTCGCCAAATATTTCAGTGTCGTAACGTCCAAATACTAATAACAAAAGCAAGTACTTCTTACCCCTTTGTTCTCTCTCTCTCTCTCTCTCTCTCTCTCTCTCTCTCTCTCTCTGTGACACATTGAGGCACACTTTTGTCCTCTTTTTGCGCGCCCTTATTGTGTCGCAGTGAAAGTTTTGTCCTGTCAACAATGGCAGACACTTCCGTACGCGGGTAAATATGTCTTACTTTGTTGTGTGAGGAGGTGCGCACGCGCGCCTGGTCCCGCGCCCAGCACCTGGCTATAGCACGCCACCGCTGGGTCAGCAAGACAGCGTGTTGTCACCACCTGCGGTCTCGTGTCACGTAACGTCCTCCTGGCCACCAGCTGATGTTGACACGGTCAAGAGTCACCAAACATTTACGGAACCTATACATCTTCCTCCAATCATGGCGGCTTTGCTAACATTTATTATATTGTATAAGAGCTCCAGGAGACTATACTAGGTTCTTTATAGCAATAATAAACTTTGGTTTATGAAGTTTCAAAACGGCTAAGCTGTCAAGTACATGTAAACAAAGTTGGCATCATTATGGAAAGATGCAGTGGTTTCGTAAGTGGTTACACAAATGCTTTCAGAGTGGTGGAGGAGGAGCTCCTTCTCCTCTCCTTCTCCTCTCCTGCTCCTACTCCTACTACGCCTCCTGCTACTCCTGCTACTACTCCTTCTCTCCTGCTCCTACTACTCCTCCTCCTTCTCCTGCTCCTCCACCACGTCTTCTTGTTCTCATTATTATTAGTATTAATAAGTAACGGTAATGTCTTCTCCCAGACATAATAACACAGTATAAACCCCCACAATTGTCTAATTTGTGAAATTGATGGACAGAATTACCGGCCGTGGTTCACACTCACTCTCCTGAGTGAAGGTGTGAGTGTGTGGTGACCACCAGTCTTACACCTCAACCACTCAACCACTTAAAAAGATAAGACGTTGATCAGTAAGTCTGGTCCCAGCCACACACTCACACCTGGACCAACCACTCAGGTGAGTGAGGCTGTAATTCTTTACATCAGGTTCACACTTTACTCAAGTGTAGGGTTTTATCCTATTAGTATTAGTAGTATTTTAATTGTTATCATAGTTTCATTGTTTATGTTTCCTTGCGCCGCGCGTGTTGCTCTTGTTTGTTATTATTGTCTACCACACACGTGGCCACATGTTTACAATGCTAACCACCATATATACATTTTCTTCTGTCCTCCATGGACAGGGTGAGAGATCTGTTAAAGATAAAGTTCAGGGATTATTGAACAATCAACTACAGAAGGTGATTGTAGTTCTTTTAAAATGCTAAGCTAAATATATACGTAAACACATACATACAGACTTACGTCTGTCCTTCATAACAGTGTTCGAGGAATCTTTTACAGTGTCATTAATGTGCGTTTACAAAGGTGAAATGTATTCTGACCAGTTTACACATATCCTGTATATATATATAATATAAAGACCCTGCATGGGCGCCTGGGGTAAATGTGTACTTCAGTTCCTAAAGGAGGGGGGTGAGGAACTCATTACAAAAACTAAAGAGCGGCCAGTTTCCTGTTCCAGCGCCTCAGTGTCGCGATCCAGAGGTGGAATACTTGCTGTATCTTGAGCACACGCCTCACCGAACAGCTGAATAAGGTCTAAGAATAGTGACTGTTGCTCTCCTGCTTTGACAGGGTAAGACAGGCTCTATAGAAACTAGCGTGATATTAAGCACTTAACCACTGAAGGTGATTAAGGTGCTTTTATAAGCTCAGGTTATATAGTTATACATCACATTGTATAATTAATGTATTACATGATCAATCTTGGGTACAAGTCCAATATATCATCAAGTGTTCCAGTATTCATATAGTAGGTACAGAGTTGAGCATACTTGAGCCCAGGAGGGCGAAAGTCAGTCAATATGGCTGACTATGGTGGTGGGAGACGGGCCATGGGAGACGGGCCACGGGAGATGGGCCATGGGAGACGGGCCATGGGAGACGGGCCATGGGAGACGGGCCATGGGAGACGGGCCATGGGAGACGGGCCATGGGAGACGGGCCATGGGAGACGGGCCATGGGAGACGGGCCACGGGAGACGGGCCACGGGAGACGGGCCATGGGAGACGGGCCACGGGAGACGGGCCATGGGAGACGGGCCATGGGAGACGGGCCATGGGAGACGGGCCATGGGAGACGGGCCATGGGAGACGGGCCATGGGAGACGGGCCATGGGAGACGGGCCATGGGAGACGGGCCATGGGAGACGGGCCATGGGAGACGGGCCATGGGAGACGGGCCATGGGAGACGGGCCATGGGAGACGGGCCATGGGAGACGGGCCATGGGAGACGGGCCATGGGAGACGGGCCACGGGAGACGGGCCATGGGAGACGGGCCATGGGAGACGGGCCATGGGAGACGGGCCATGGGAGACGGGCCATGGGAGACGGGCCATGGGAGACGGGCCATGGGAGCACAACATAATAAGAGTCAGTAGGGAGGGTAAGGGAAGGTAATACTGGAAGATAAACGTGAAGTCTCTCTCCCCGTGTGTTCTCCCAGAGTAATGAAGCCTCATATATCAAGTGAGGGAATCTCACACGGGTTCGTTGCACATCTCTCATCTTGTCTGTCATTTGTGATTGATGGCGCATATATGTGTGCACTTATAGGCTTATACTGTGCTCATATATACATGGCACTGTGCCACCAGCGGGTACTGAGGACGGTGTCACCTACTGGTTACTATAAGACTGTGAAGGTGGCAATGGGTCCTTAAGGTCTTTAACTTGATGATAGTCGTCTCACTTACGACCCTTGCACCAACGCTACGACCTCTTCCCGCCTATACTAACTTCCTACTCATAATACTCTTCACTCACACCTCACTCATCGTGAGTAACACCTCACTCATGTCACCTGATCAACATGACCTCTTTACTCACCAATTTGTGCGGGCAAGATCGAGGTTTTAGCTCTTGGGCCCCGTCTTTCCAACCGCCGGGTGTACAATGTACATGTCTTCCTATTTATTTTATGTCACATATTCTAGGCCAACTATTGAACATCGGCATGATGCAACCCACAACAGCTGTCTAACTCCCACGTACCCAGGAGAACACACGCATAAACTGTAAGGAAATATTCCCCAAACGTTTCTGTCCTGCCGCGGGGATCGAACCAGCGATCCTTGGTTGTGCTTACGCCCACTTGTGTGTGGGTGTAATTACCTTAGTTAACATGGGAGCTACGCTCGTGGTGTCCCGTCTTCCCAGTACTCTTTGTCGTATATGCTGTGTGTGTGTGTTTACTAGTTGTGTTTTTACGGGGGTTGAGCTTTGCTCTTTCGGCCCGCCTCTCAACTGTCAATCAACTGTTTACTAACTACACTAACTACTTTTTTTTTTTTTTTTCACACCACACACACACACACACCCCAGGAAGCAGCCCGTGACAGCTGACTAACTCCCAGGTACCTATTTACTGCTAGGTAACAGGGGCACTTAGGGTGAAAGAAACTTTGCCCATTTGTTTCTGCCTCGTGCGGGAATCGAACCCGCGCCACAGAATTACGAGTCCTGCGCGCTGTCCACCAGGCTACGAGGCCCCTGTGTGTGTGTGTGTGTGTGTGTGTGTGTGTGTGTGTGTGTGTGTGTGTGTGTGTGTGTGTGTGTGTGTGTGTGTGTGTGTGTGTGTGTGTGTACAAGTTACCTCGTGTGCGTATGGCGTGGTGTGCGTGGGGTGGGCAGCTGTACATAACATGATGTACTCCGCCCACCTCACACTCGATCCTTCCCTCCTGCACCATGTTGGGGCCCTCGTGTTGTGGCCCTCTTGTTGGGGCCCTCTTGCTGTGGCCCTCTTGTTGGGGCCTCTTGCTGTGGCCCTCTTGTTGGGGCCTCTTGTTGTGGCCCTCTTGCTGTGGCCCTCTTGCTGGGGCCCTCTTGTTGTGGCCCACTTGCTGGGGCCTCTGGGGGCTCCTCTCCACCTTCAGCGGCCTTTCAACCTTCTAGGAGTCTGAGGTTATTCTCAGGAGTTGGCAGTTGTTGATGGGAGACAGCGGAGGCCTCACCTGCCGTCGGTGTGTCTGCCTTAGTGTCTGCCGGCCCTCCTACACTGTTATCTGCCTCTAAATCACTTCCTTAAACTTCATAAGTTCTCTTATCTTTGTCACAAGTCATTGTATTCCTTAATATTTTCATTATAACCCGAGTTTCCAGTAGCGTTTCGAATTAGAACATGTAGAGTGGACATGAACTTTATATTACATTTATCCTGAATATATGTCCTGTTCCCACACGACTAGTGGTTGGTCCTCGAGTGTCACAACCGTCGCTGACGGAGCCTCGCACAACTCTGCCCTCCACGCTACTCTGCTTCCTCCATACAGGGAGCGCTCACTTCCAGGACCGTGAGGTTTAGTGTGCAACCCTTCCCGCCACTAGGGCTCCCCAGGTGCGTGAGAGTGAGTGCTCGCGGCATCCATCACATGGATGACACAACTGGTGTAACCTTGTAAGCCACGCCTGGTTCATCCTCCAGGTGGCTGACATGGATGACACAACTGGTGTAACCTTGTAAGCCCATCAACCCGTCTTCGACTCAAGTCCATTCCATCCAGCGGTCGACCCCACAGACGCGTTCATAAATGTTTACATGCTGTTCATTCAAAACGGGAATTTTCTCAAATATAAATTAATATTATGATATATTAGCATATTGTGCATATATAGGCATAGGTTAGGTTAGGTGTTTAGGTTCTGTTGGCGATTATTTGTATTTGTAGTACGTGGGTGAAGCATTTACAGCGTTGTGATTCGAACAAAATTCGTCAGTGAAGCACTTGATCCGGATATGTTCGAACGTCAGCAGTTGTGAGTCGTGTGTAAATCGCTTTTCATTCATAAACAGGGGGTTTGGCGGGTGCATGGAATCACTTTTGGATCTTTGTTTGGAGGACGGGCTGGTTTATGAATGAAAAACGGTTTACACACGACTCACAACTGCTGACGTTCGAACATATCCGGAACAAGTGCTTCACTGACGAATTTTGTTCGAATCACAACGCTATAAATGCTTCACCCACGTACTACAAATACAAATAATCGCCAACAGAACCTAAACACCTAACCTAACCTATGCCTATATATGCACAATATACTAATATTTTATAATATTAATTTATATTTGAGAAAATTCCTGTTTTGAATGAACAGCATGTAAAAATTTATAAATGCGTCTGTGGGGTCGACCGCTGGATGTAATGGACTTGAGTCGAGGACGGGTTGAAATACGTGTGTGTGTGTACTCACCAAATTATGCCTGCAGGATCGAGCATTGACTCTTGGATCCCGCCTTTCTAGCCATCGGTTGTTTACAGCAATGACTCCTGTCCCATTTCCCTACCATATCTAGTTTAAAAATTATGAATAGAGTTTGCTTCCACAACCTGTTCCTTAAATGCACTCTATTTTCCCACTACTCTCACGCTAAAGGAAAACTTCCTAACATCTCTGTGACTCATCTGAGTTTCGAACTTCCACCCATGTCCCCTCGTTCTGTTAATATTACGTGTGAACATTTCATCTATTTCCACTTTGTCAATTCCCCTGAGCATTTTATACGTTCCTATCATATCCCCCTTCTCCCTTCTTTTTTTCTAGTGTCGTAAGGTTCAGTTCCTTCAGACGTTCTTCATATCCCATCCCTCGTAACTCTGCGACGACCCTCGTCGCAAACTTCTGAACCTTTTCCAGTTTCCTTATGTGTTTCTTCAGATGGGGACTCCATGATGAGGCGGCATACTCTAAGACTGGCCTTACGTAGGCAGTGTAAAGCGCCCTAAACGCCTCCTCACTTAGGTTTCTGAATGATGTTCTAACTTTTGCCAGTGTAGAGTACGCTGCTGTTGTTATCCTATTTATATGTGCTTCAGGAGTTAGATTAGGTGTTACGTCCACGCCCAGGTCTCTTTCTCGAATCGTCACAGGTAGGCTGTTCCCCTTCATTGTGTATTGTTCCTTTGGTTTCATATCGACTGATCCCATTTCAATATCTTTACATTTGCTCGTTTTGAACTCCAGTAGCCATTTCTCTGACCATCTCTGCAATCTGTCCAGGTCCTCTTGGAGGATCCTACAATCCTCATCTGTCACAACTCTTCTCATTAATTTTGCGTCATCCGCGAACATTTACATGTAGGATTCTACTCCTGTAAACATATTATTTACGTAAATTAGAAATAGAATTGGTCTCAGCACCGATCCTTGAGGTACTCCACTCGTTACTGTTCGCCAGTCCGACTTCTCGCCCCTTACCATTACTCTCTGGCTCCTTCCTATTAAGTAGTTCTTCACCCATGCTAGGGCCTTTCCGCTTACTCCCGCCTGCCTCTCAAGTTTGAATAGCAGTCTCATGTGCGGTACTGTATCAAAGGCCTTTTGTGTGTGTGTGTGTGTGTGTGTGTGTGTGTGTGTGTGTGTGTGTGTGTGTGTGTGTGTGTGTGTGTGTGTGTGTGTGTGTGTGTGTGTATGTTTGTGTGTGTAGTTCACACCTCGTGGGACTCAGGCTCCAGCTCCTGCGGCCCGACTTACCAAACATGTCATCGGCCTTCATGCATCCCCAATACAAGAGTCTTGCTGAACATACGCGCGCCGCGTGTGCGTGTATCCGTGCCTTCGTGTGGGAGGATGCGACTCGATGCTTCACTTTCACTGTGACAATAATCGTTTCCGTAATTTTGAACATTTGGTGAGTGTTAGGAGGCCCCTCCCCGCCTGGGGAGAGTTACCGGGGTGGCGGGGAGCGGTTAAGTCACGCCCCTCCCCGCTGTAGCACCCCCCCCACCCCAGCAAGTGAGAGAGAAAGCTCTATATAATGACAGGTGAGAGATTAACCGTTGTGCTCTGTGAGTCAAATGTGTCTCTCACTTCTGGGTGTCAAATGTTACACGTGTCAGGTGGTCTGGGTGTCAGTAAGTGTGTACTGGGATAGTGTTTCTGGCTCCTCGCGCAGTTTCTGGCCCTCCCCCAGTTTCTGACCCCCAGTTTCTGGCCCTCCCACAGTTTCTGGCCCCTCTCCTAGTTTCTGGCCCCTCTCCCAGTTTCTGGCTCTCTCCCAGTTTCTGGACCTCCAGTTTCTGACCCCCTCTGGCCCTCCCACAGTTTCTGGCCCCTCTCCAGTTTCTGAGTTTCTGGCTCTCCCCAGTTTCTGGCCCTCCCACAGTTTCTGGCCTCTGGCCCCTCTCCCAGTTTCTGGCTCTCTCCCAGTTTCTGACCCACAGTTTCTAGTTTCTGGCTCTCTCCCAGTTTCTGGTTCTCTCCCAGTTTCTGACCCCCAGTTTCTGACCCCCAGTTTCTGGCCCTCCCACAGTTTCTGGCCCCTCTCTGGCCCCTCCCAGTTTCTGGCTCTCTCCCAGTTTCTGGCTCTCTCCCAGTTTCTGACCCCCAGTTTCTGACCCCCCAGTTTCTGGCCCTCCCACAGTTTCTGGCCCCTCTCCTAGTTTCTGGCCCCTCTCCCAGTTTCTGGCTCTCTCCCAGTTTCTGGCCCTCCCGCAGTTTCTGGCCCCTCTCCTAGTTTCTGGCCCCTCTCCCAGTTTCTGGCTCTCTCCCAGTTTCTGGCTCTCTCCCAGTTTCTGACCCCCAGTTTCTGGCCCTCCCACAGTTTCTGGCCCCTCTCCTAGTTTCTGGCCCCTCTCCCAGTTTCTGGCTCTCTCCCAGTTTCTGACCCTCCCCCAGTTTCTGAACCCCAGTTTCTGGCCCTCCCGCAGTTTCTGGCCCCTCTCCTAGTTTCTGGCCCCTCTCCCAGTTTCTGGCTCTCTCCCAGTTTCTGGCTCTCTCCCAGTTTCTGACCCCCAGTTTCTGGCCCTCCCACAGTTTCTGGCCCCTCTCCTAGTTTCTGGCCCCTCTCCCAGTTTCTGGCTCTCTCCCAGTTTCTGACCCTCCCCCAGTTTCTGAACCCCAGTTTCTGGCCCTCCCACAGTTTCTGGCCCCTCTCCTAGTTTCTGGCCCCTCTCCCAGTTTCTGACCCCCAGTTTCTGTCCCTCCCACAGTTTCTGGCCCCTCTCCTAGTTTCTGGCCCCTCTCCTAGTTTCTGGCCCCTCTCCCAGTTTCTGGCTCTCTCCCAGTTTCTGACCCTCCCCCAGTTTCTGACCCCAGTTTCTGGTCCTCCCACAGTTTCTGCCCCTCCCTTAGTTTCTGACCCTCCCACAGTTTCTGGCCCTCCCCCAGTTTCTAACCCTCTCCCAGTTTCTGACCCTCCCCCAGTTTCTGACCCCCAGTTTCTGGCCCCTCTTCTAGTTTCTGGTCCCTCTCCCAGTTTCTGGCCCTCTCCCAGTTTTTGACCCTCTCCCAGTTTCTGACCCCCAGTTTCTGGCCCTCCCACAGTTTCTGGCCCCTCTCCTAGTTTCTGGCCCCTCTCCCAGTTTCTGGCCCTCCCCCAGTTTCTGACCCTCCCCCAGTTTCTGACCCCCAGTTTCTGGTCCTCCCACAGTTTCTGCCCCTCCCTCAGTTTCTGACCCTCCCACAGTTTCTGGCCCTCCCCCAGTTTCTAACCCTCTCCCAGTTTCTGACTCTCCTCCAGTTTCTGACCCTCTCCCAGTTTCTGACCCTCCAGTTTCTGGTCCCACAGTTTCTGACCCTCCTCCAGTTTCTGACCCTCTCCCAGTTTCTGACCCTCCAGTTTCTGACCCTCTCCCAGTTTCTGACCCTCTCCCAGTTTCTGACCCTCTCCCAGTTTCTGACCCTCCCACAGTTTTTGACCCTCCTCTAGTTTCTGACCCTCCTCCAGTTTCTGACCCTCCTCTAGTTTCTGACCCTCTTCCAGTTTCTGACCTTCTCCCAGTTTCTGACCCTCCTCCAGTTTCTGACCTTCTCCCAGTTTCTGACCCTCTTCCAGTTTCTGACCCTCTTCCAGTTTCTGACCCTCCCACAGTTTCTGACCCTCCCACAGTTTCTGACCCTCCTCCAGTTTCTGACCCTCCTCTAGTTTCTGACCCTCTTCCAGTTTCTGACCTTCTCTCAGTTTCTGACCCTCTTCCAGTTTCTGGCCCTCCCACAGTTTCTGACCCTCCCACAGTTTCTGACCCTCCTCCAGTTTCTGACCCTCCTCTAGTTTCTGACCCTCCTCCAGTTTCTGACCCTACCCCAGTTTCTGACCCTCCCCCAGTTTCTGACCTTCTCCCAGTTTCTGACCCTCCCCCAGTTTCTGACCCTCCTCTAGTTTCTGACCCTCCTCTAGTTTCTGACCCTCCTCCAGTTTCTGACCCTACCCCAGTTTCTGACCTTCTCCCAGTTTCT